TATACTTACTTTTATAATATAATATATAATATTATTAATAATATTATTAACTAGGGAATAAAATAACTATAATTAATAAGGTAGTAAATACTAATTCTATAATATTAATTCTATAATACTAATTAATAATAAGACTTATTATATAATAACTAAATTAATTAATATTATAATAAATATAATAAATATAAAAAGGATAATACTAAAAGGTAGTTATATACCTCTTAAGATAATTAATAGTACTTTTAACTATAAGAAGGTAATTATATTTATAAAGAGCCTTAGTTAATAATATTATTAATAATATTATATATTATATTATAGAAATAGGTATAATAAGATTTTAATAAAGGTTATATATTTTAATTTAATTCCTTAGCTTAAAACTATCTTTAACTTTAGGCTACCTTAACTTTAATTCTAACTTTAAAAATATATTCTTTTAATATAATTTAACTTTCTATTTTTATTCTTACTTTAGCCCCTTAATACCTTATATATAATTTCTCTTTATAGATTATTTTTAAAGACCTTAAGTACCTTTATAACCTACCTTTTTAAATTATTATATTAAGCTATATAGTTTAACTTAAATACCTTAATAAAAAAGCTATTAGTTTTAAAAACTAGCCTTTTTATAAGCCTAATTTCTAGGCTTTATAGGTATTTAAGTTATTTTTTTACCTTTTATATTTAACTTAATATATACTTTTAGGTATAGTTTTCCTTATTAAGCCTTAGACTATAAAGTATTAAAAACTTATAATTAAAAGTAATTAATTTAATTAAGCTATAATTATCTTATTTATTATAAAAAGGTAATATAAAATAGCTATTAAAATCTTACTTTAGATTAAATTAAAGATCTCTAGCCTTATTTTTAAATAGGCTAAGTTCTTACCTATTATAATAATTATTAATAGCTTTTTAAATAATCTTATAAATTAGGGTAAGGCTTATATTATAATAAATATCTATTATTTAAATAGTAATATTTATTATAATAATAACTATAAAAGAGGTTAGTAATATAGACTAAAAGGTAGAGATTAATTAACTAATTATAGCTATAAAGGTCGATTAACTAGCTTATAGTATAGATTAAGTTAAGGATATAAGGGAAGCTAGCTTTTATATATATAGCTATTATATATATTTATCTAATTAGAGTTTAGTTACTATATATAACTTTTATTATACTAATTATATTAAGTTTTTAACCTTAGAAGAGGTTATTTTTATTATTAATATTATTAAGAGATTTAAAAAGCCTAGGCTTAATAAAGTTAAAGATTAAAGTAAAAAGAAATATATATAGTAATTAAACTTTAATTAAATAAATATATATATTATATAGCTATATATATAAAAACTAGCTTCTCCTTTATACCCCTTAACCTAATCTATATTATAAGCCTACTAGTTAATTAACCCTTATAGCTATAGTTAGTTAATTAACTCCCTTTAGTTTATATTACTAACCTCTTTTGTAGTTACTATAATAAGTATTACTATTTAAATTATAGATATTTACTATACTATAAACTTTAAGCTAATCTATAAGAAAATTAATAATATATTAAAAAACTACTATAAAATAAAATATAACTAACTTAAATATAAAGTTAAAGACCTTAAAATTAATATAGAATAAGAAATAAAAGGCTTTTTATTACCTCTCTATAGTAAATAACATAATTTTTACTTAATTATATTAATTACTTTTAATTATAAGCTTTTAATACTTTTTTATATATAATAAAATTAAGATGCCTTTTATTAAAGAAAGCTATTAAGTTTAAGGTATATAAAAAATTAACTTAAAAGCTTAAAAAGCCTAGGAAATAGGCTTATAAAAAGGCTAGTTTTAAAAATTAATACCTTTTTTATTAAGGTATTTAAGTTAAACTATATAGCTTAATATAATTACTTAAAGAAGTAGGTTAAATAGGTAATTAAGGCTAGTAAAGATATAAAGTAAAGCTAGATTTAATAGAGATTATATATAAAGCGTTAAGGGGCTAGGGTAGAAATAAAGATAGAAGGTTAAAATATATTACTTAAAGGAATATATATTTAGAGTTAAAATTAAAGTTAAGGTAGCCTAAAATTAAAGGTAGTTTTAGGCTAAGGAATTAAATTAGATTATATAACCCTTATTAAAATCCTACTATATCTATTTCTGTAATATAATATATAATATATAATATTATTAACTAGGGATAATATTCTTTATAATATTTAATAATATAAGAATCTTTACTTTTAAGTTCTTTATTTTAAGTATATATTTTATTTATTTATAATATATTTAAAGTAATAACCAGGTTATCCTTAATATTTAATAAAATACTAACTAACTTAAGATAGATTATTATAATAAAACTCTATTTTTTATAATTTTTAACTTTTTTAAGCTTTATAATATTTATATTATTAATATAATTAGGTATTATTTTTATTAAGGTATATTAATATTAACTCTTTATAAAGAGATTAATTTAAGGAAATATTTTATAGATTATAATTATAAATATAGTTATCCCTAGTTAATAATATTATTAATAACATTACGCATTACATTACGGCACAGTAGGATTTTAATTAGGGTCACGTAATCTAATTTAATTCCTCGGCCCGAAGGTACCTTAACTTTAACTTTAACTCTAAATATATATTCCTTCGATATATTAACCTTCTACCTTTCTGCCCTAGCCTATTAACGCCTTATATATAACTTCTATTACTATCCATAATAGTTATATACTCTTAGTCTTAGGCTAAGACTAGGATCTTTATTTCTTATTCTTAAAGATCTTAATTATATTATTAACTTACCTCTTTAAACTATTATACTAATTTATATATTTTAATTTAAATACCTTAATAAAGGAAATATTAATTTATAAAACTAGCCTTTTTATAAGCCTATCTTCTAAGCTTTTTAGGCTTTTAAGTTATATTTTTATATATTATATATTTAGTTTTTCTTTTATATAAAAAAAAATATTAAAAGCTTATAGCTAAAGGTAATTAATATAATTAAATAAAGATTATTTTATTTACTATAAGGAGGTAATAAAAAGCTTTTTATATTCTATTTTATATTAATCTTAAGGTTTTTAACCTTTTATTTAGTTCCTTTATATTTTATTTTATAATATTTATTTAATATTTTATTAATTCTTTTATATCTTAAGTTAAGGCTTATATTATAGTAGATTTTTATTATTTTAATAGTACTTATTATAATAACTATAAAACAGGTTAGTAATATAGACCGAAGGGTAGGGAACTAGGGGTTAATTAACTAACTATATATAACTTAACTTAAGCTTTACTTCTTAATTCTAACCTTTACTAGGTAGCTATAAGGGTTAATTAACTAGTTTATAATATAGATTAGGTTAAGGGGTATAGGGAGGAAGCTAGCTTTTATATATATAGCTATATAAATTATAATATATATATTTATTTAATTAAAGTTTAGTTACTATATATAATATTTAATATTCTAATTATATTAAATTTTTAACCTTAGAAAAGGTTATTTTTATTATTAATATTATTAAAAGATTCAAAAAGCCTAGGCTTAATAAAATTAAAGGTAAAAAAAAACTTTTTTTTATAATTATTATTAAAAGTAAATATAATTTTATAATAAATAATATAGTAATAAAATAGTAATTATTTACTATATTTTAATATTTTAGGTCTTATTAGCCTAAAAAAAAAGTTTATAAATAAACTTCCTATTAATTAGTTTTATTTATAAATATTATTACTTTTAGGTTTATTTTATATAATACCTATATAGTATAGAATATAGTTTTTTATTAGGTTAATAAGTAGTTATAAAAGTTAAAGAATTATAAAAAGGGAATTCCTTTTTATAATTTTATTTAATCTTTTTAATATATTTAGAGTTATATTTAGGTAACTTTTACTTATTATTAAATACCTTAGTACTATAACGTTAAGTATATAATAATATAAAGCTATTATAAGGTAGATTTAATAATATTATTATATTAAAGTATATAAAATTTAGCTAATTTTGAATTATAATTAAGATTAGGGTTTAATTTAGGTTTTATATAAAATTAGGTTACTTTTTAAGGTTTTTTATATTATAAAGTAAAATATTAAGTAGATTAAAATATAGTTATAAAAGGTAATATATATAAAGGCTAGATACTAAATTATATATTTAGATATATATAAATTACTATAATAAAAAAATAAAGAATATAAATACTATTTCTTTTTTTAGGTATATTAAAATTTAAATAATCTATAAGCTAAATATGCTAAAAATACTAAGTATTTCCTTTAATAAAAATCTTATTTTTTTATAAATATAAATAAAAAAGCTTATTATACTTAATCCTACTTAAATAGGTTAGGTAAGTTAAAAATAGTTAATAAAAAGTTAATTTATTAATATTTAATAGTTAAGGAGGTATATAATAATTTACGTAAGGGTTTTATAATCTATTAAAAGGTAATTAGGTTAAATATATATTATATTATTCTTAATTACGGTTAGCTATAGTTAGGCTAGGATAAGTAGAGTGTATGCCTTAGGCTACCACTTCCAACACTAATATCGTCCAAGCCACACTGCGCCCTTCCATCCCATCCAATGACGTCCCCTCCTCAAGCCACAAGCCACACACCATCCGTCGTCATCATCAACCGCTTGGCCACTTCAGGCTTCTTAGCATCGCCACTTTCAAGAATGATCAACTCCCGAAACATGGACATGGATATGTCAATGGTCAATGGCCAATGGAGAAAGGGAGGGTCCCGTCTCCATCTACGTAATGTGTCTTGCGCAAGCTTGTGGGTTGGTAGTTGGACACCACTTGGTGATAAACCACAGCTCCCCTTCCTTTATATATAACACTTGTCTCTCACACCCATATCTCAAATTTCACCTACTATCCATATAATATCAAATACTTCCTATCTTCATACTTACAAAACCCCTAAAATTAACCATGGGCGCAAAATCAGGCACTGCCCTCAAGTTCCTTCAGTGGTTCATTCGCGGCATTCAATTCGGCTGCGCAGCTCTCATCCTCGGCATATACTCATACTTCCTGGCCACTCTCCACAACCATGACCTGCCCATCAGCAACACCATCCGCGCTGTAGAGGGCATCTCTGGCATCGCTGTTCTCTACACCGCCGCCGCTTTAGTTCTCGTGTGCTGTCTCGCAGGCCGCACTTTCTCCTCTCTCCTCGCCATTATCCTCGATGTCGCCTTTATCGGAGCTTTTATCTATGTCGCCGTTGCCAACAAAGGCGGTGCCAGCAGCTGCACCGGATATCTCGATACTCCCTTTGGTCGAGGAAAGGCTGGCAACCAGGCAGACGGATCAGATGGCTTCACTGCTCTTCCCAGCTACCGCACTGCTTGCAAGCTTCAGTCTGCCTGCTTAGCCGTCGCCATCATCGCAATGTAAGTCATGATTACATCATACATCATACATCATACATCATACATCATACATCATACATCATACATCATACAAATGTACAACAACTAACATCGTCTCAGTATCTTCTTCATCCTCTCCATCCTCGTGGAAGTCGCCCTTGTCCGCCACCACCGCAAGGAGAAGCGTTTCGGCCCCGGTCCCGCCAACGGTTACACTGGTGGCTATGCTGCCAAGGGCGGTTTCTTCAGCCGTATCTTCCGCCGCCGCAAGACTGCCACCACTGATGATGCTCATGTCTTGCCTGAGCACACCCACCCTGACCAGCTCGACCCCTACCGTCAGAGCCACGCCACAGACCGTACTGCTGTCAACAACTACCCCGACAACACTGATAACACCTACAACAAGTACGAAAACACTGCCTTCAACCAGCAGCAGCATGACCCCAAGTTCGCTCGTCAGGACCAAGTCCATTACCCCGAGGCTGAGCACGGCGTTACACACCCTACTGCTCGCCAAGCCGAGAATCCCAACTACAGATATGAGGATGGTGTCTATGACCGTGTCTAAGAACATGACCTTTGAATTGGGAAATGTAAAAACAACAAGTTACACAGAATTATTCCTCAGAATGATACTTGGAACGTTGCTCCTGAGAGAAGCAGCTGATCACTTACGTATACCTATGTTACATACTATGATAGATGATAGGGCCTCATACGCCTGTTAATGATTAATTACACACTACACACATTGGCTTTTTTCCGATCGTGACACTTGCAACAACAGCCTATAACTTATAGTCCATTGTTTCCAAATACCTAAAAGTAGTTAAAATGAATCGCTTGTATTATTCCTTTCTCTTCATACTCATAGTCAAACATCTCGCTGGTGACAATTACCATTTCAGCCAAACGCGCCCGCGCAAGAACCCCTCATGTTTAACGCTTACCACGCCTCCCCTGCCTCTAATTCACTCATTCCATCATCGCCTCCCCCACCTGTCCAATCCAACTCCAGCTTCTCCAGCTCTCTCGAGAAAAAGTCCTGCTCATCTCGCATGGCAGCTCGAATCTCTGGCGCAATTTTGTCAGGATACCGCCGGACATTGAGCCAATGTGTAAGGCTGCGCAATGCCTGTTCTAAAGGAAGTGCTGCGTCGACTTCGGCGTCCACATCACTACCCGCGAGCCATTCATCCTTCAACTCCGGTCGACAGTGTAGATAAATCGCCGTGATCACACGCATGTTGCTCTGGCGCCACTTACGGCCGCAGTACGGGACTTGGTTTTTGAATAGTTTGAGTGTGTAGAGGCGCAGCTCCGGCTGAGGTACCTTGAGAGACTTTCGGAGGATAGTCGATGACTTGTACTGGACAAGCAACAAGTTCCGGTGTGCCTTGTTTTTACAGATCTTTTGCATCACTCTCAGGTAGTTGATGAGTGAGAAGAAGTTGCGACGTGAAAAGTCTGTGATAGGCTCCATTGGTTGCGAATTAAGAGGATACCCGAGCTCATCAACTTCAGGCCTTGTGGAAGAAGCTTGGCCGTCACTGTTGGAATCTCCGTCGTCGTCGACCTGTGTGCTTGGTGAACGCCTTCTCCTGATAGGCGGAGGTGCTGCTTCGTCATCACTCTCCTCAATCTCTTCATCATCTTCTTCCTCGTCCTGCGCTAGCTCCGAGGTCGTCTTATCTCTAGATTGCGACAGCAGGTTGCAGAAGTGGAAGAAACTAAAAGACTTAGTCGTTTTCTTCACTCGTAGAGTGCTTTTCTTACCTGTTTTCAGCACGGTCCATCTTACTGTCGACCACTTGCTGAACGTCTTGATGAGCAAAGAGCTTAAGGACGAGAGGGACATAATTAGAGTCCAGTAGAAGCTGTGTCATGTACTCGAATTTGAGAACATCTGATGGACATTAGTCGAGCACACAAACAAGTGAGTGTTTGTCAAACTTACGAGACACCCGTAGCCATTTCAACAATAAGATAAGAATCCCAGTCATGGCTTTCGAAGTAATTTCCCGCGTCCTTGCAGCGTCCACCTCATCTAGAGATAGTTCTGGTGTCAATGGTTTTGTGGGATTTTGACCTGGCACTTCCTGTTGTTGTCTGTTTCCTGAAGGGCCACCATTCATGCCAGGGTTGTTACCTCTACCCATCCCTGGAGGTCCTTGTTGAGGCTGCTGTGAGACAATCGCTGTCACGTTAAGAAGAATTGGCCGCAGCAGAACTATCACTAGTGACTGAAGATGGGGCAACGCATCGCGCTGTTACTGTTAGCATCCCTACACCCCATATATCTCATGCTTAGCACTCACGTAAAACTTCTCCACAGCAACAAGACGTTGTTTGTCCCGTTCGTCCAATAGCTCTGGCCGAGGGCCATAGTCTATCTCCGGTTCAGGAGCTACCGGGTTTTCCCTCTTCTCTTCAGCTCTGGTTTCCGCTTTGATCTCCTTTAGTATTTCTTGTTCTTCTGGCGAGAGCTCGTTTAGATCTAGACCCTCGATGTCGTCGTCATCATCGCGGTCACTGCTGTAGCCGCGCTCAAACTTCAGGAATCGCTCGCGCTCTTCCCAAAGCTGGCGGGTTGCCCTTGTCATCCGGACTCGCTGTGAGAACAACTCTCCAGCTTCAAGGATGGAAGCGGGAATATCGCTCCCCTCCCATTTTCGTCCGATGAGCTCATGCTGGAGCCCGGCAGCGCCTTTTCCACCAGCAAAGTTACTTGAGGCATCCAACGGAGGGTACATGAAAGGGAAATTCTGGTTCGTCTGATAGTTTTGTTTCTTAACTCCCTTGCCGCCTGCTGCTGGTGATGGGGGTGGCGAAGGCGCTGGGGTGGCGATATGTACCGGCTGATCAAGAATCGAGGTTCCTCCGCTGTGGACTTGAGGTGGTGCAGGAATGATACCATTAGCACCGTTATTCCTTGATACTTGGCTCGATAGAGGAGGTAACAAAGAGGTGTTATCTGCTTCGAGAGGAATTGCCGGTCGTGGGGGTACATAAGCTGGGTATTTGGATGTTATTTCTTGGCGAAAGACATGATAGTCCAAGGGTGAAGCAGTGATGGTCTTTTTATCGGCTGCCTTGTCCCCCATTTCATTAGTAGCCTTCTTGATGGCTTCAAGGTCTTTAGTTCCACCAAAAACCAGTAGAATTGTTTTCCAAAACAATAGAAGTATCTAGCGTGGTGTGAGCATAGTCCTATGACTGCCAAAGAGAAACATCATATACCTGAGTCTGTGGCATGGCATTTTGCTCATCCCATCGCAATTTTGAAGTTGCTGTAAACATATAGTCGACCAATGAGGGGTTAAGCTCCACTATTTGTATTAGTTATACTCGGATACGAGATGGAGAACAAACTCACAGAGCTTTCCGTATGAGGAAGACATGTCCTCCGGATCGTTAAGGGTCTCTTGTACTACTACGTACATGATGGTCATGAGGTTCATCAACTCGTCCTGGGCTTCCTGGGCGTTACTATGCTGCCCTAGCGGGTCCCCTGACCTGTAATTAAATATCAGCATTAGATCGCATAAGCTGGGAAAGTGTTTAAGCTTACCACTGTACTTCAAAATTACTGCGCAGAGCTTCCCAGATAACAGGCAAGCCCTCCAAGGACGTCAGACACTCAACGCCAGCCTTGATGGCTTGCAACTGCGAAATACTGGCAACAGACCGGCTATCCCCAGGCGTCGCATTCGACATGGCGGTATCATTCCAACGTCCTAACACGAGATACACTAGCTTCCCAATCGAAGCTGATCGTAGCGCCGCGTCGTTGGACTGCACGCCCGCAATAGCTGTCTGGACGAACCGTGTGCGTGTATCGTTGTCTGCATCATCCCACGTATCCTGAGACCTCGCCTCGTGCTGCCAGTGCCACTTAAATGCTCGCTGCGCGGCGCTCAGTCGAACCCACTGTGGTACCCCATAGTTGAACCACTCGTCTATTTCTTCGGCATGGGGGCCTATGTCGGTGTACTCAAAGTCGTAGGCGACGGGTTCGGCACGATTGAATTCGGCCACAATATGGCGTAGTTGCTGTAGAGAGAGCGAGTCGGTTGCTGGTGGTTGATCGCTTGACGGAGGAAGCGCCATGGGCGCGGCCGGGGGAGCACCTTGCAAGGTGTTGCGTTGGAGGGGAGGTCGTGCCCATGTTGGCGGCGGAGGAACAGGTGGAAGGTCGGGCTGTTCAGCCTCGCCGGGGAGGTCAGCGATCTCGCCCGTATCGGCAACATCTATCAGCGCATCAGGCTGGGGTTCGTCTTGAGAGGCCGTCGAGGGCCAAATGTTGCTCATGGTGCCTGTCTAGTGTAGAGTCGTGACTGGTGAGGTTGGTTTAGATAATGCCCCGCCAAAGTCGATGGTTTTTGTTTTTGTTTCTGTTTCAGCGGCTAAGCCATCGTTGTAGTAGGGAGTTGTTGCTTCTAATGAGATGCTGGTGACTAGAAAGAATAAACGAGAGTATTTATCTGGACTTGTTGGTTTGTAAGGACAGAAATGCTCGATTGTTCCCAAGGTGGATTGGTTGTGGACGTGGCCTGGTTGTTTACTCCAAGGCAAGGCAAGGTAGGTACAGCTTAGCTTACCTCTAGCCTTAACTTCCTTAACTGACCTGGGGGGTTTGGACTTTGGAGTTGCACCTGCTAAACTAAACGTAATTGGTGGGCGCTTGAGTATGGGGCAAGATCCAAGGGTCCCATCCACTTCGAATTGTCGTCACAATTGCCTTTTGTTAGCTCGTGTCTCAAGCCTCGTTAGGCAAGCGCTCAAAAGATTAGGTACCTACGGAGAAATATCAAGGCATTTACGACTGCCCTCGGTAAATTGTCATGTCATCATTTGACTCTTTCCCCTGTTTAAGGAAGATCATCTCAGCTCGGGATACCTAAGGAGATAGGTACTACCTAATCAAAGCAACGCAAAAACTGCCTCTACCTAGTACCTACTCAGAACCCGTTGAATCATCGTCAGAATCAGGACTTTGACCTTCACCCTTGGATGTTTGCTTCTGCTCTTTCGCCTTCGCCTTCTTCCTCAGCTTCTTCAACCGGTTCATTCTCTTCTTCTTATCCTTTACATGCTCCTCCTTCTCAGCCATTTTCTTCGCATCAGCTGCTTCCTTCTCTTCCTTTGCCTTGGCCCTTTTCCTCAGTGATATTCGCTGCTTCTTCCCTGGTCTCCGTCTCCCTTCTGCGACTTCGTCTTCTGTCTTGTCACTCGGGCTGGCTTTTCGAGTGACTGTGGTATTTGTGACCTTCCATGGAAGCTCGAGACCCCAGGCTCGGTCGTTTGATTTCGCCAGTATCTGATCCCCGCTCATGGCAGCTATGGCGTACTCTTGCTTCTGTCGTGCAGGTACTTTTGTCACCACGTAGTAAGAGAGCGGCCGACCAGCGACGAAAGCTCCGACACCTGTTGGCCCGGTATCCTCTTCCAATACGATCTTTTGTGTTGGTGGCGCTTTGCTGAAAAGGCGAAAGGCAAATTCCTCCTCGTGGTCTTCACCGGCCGCGTCCACCATATCGTCATCGTCGTCAGACTCTTTGCTCTCGTTGCTTTCTGGCGCACGAGAATCTTTCGTGGAATCATGAACGCTTGGCTCAATGTACATGTCCATTCCTAGTGACCTTGCCATCTGTGCGTTCAGCTTTGCACGCAACTCGGCGTATTGAGTACTGTCGTGATCTGCCACATCATCTGAGCCATTCAGATCTTCTCGGCGAATCCTGGTAAGTTTGTGAGCGTCTAGGACCAGACTGACCGCATATCAACGACTAATTATATACCTCTTTGCTTCGGGCACCTCAAACATGGTTGCGCAATGTGTGCGTGAGATGAATAGTTGAACGAGACGAGGTTGTGAGTCTGAGAGCAGGTTTCTCCCACCAATGATTGATAGTGAGAATACAGACAATTGGTGCGATTCCCTGCAGAATAATGTAGAAGGATGCGAAACAAAGTGAGTTCCTCCAAATGATGCGCCCTGAATGACTGTCACTATGAGTCTGTAAAGTCTTAAATTAAAGATTCCTCCGTGCAACCCAAATTTCCGCCGCCCGGCACTTTTTCTTATCTTATCGCTTTGCATAAGCCACCACTAACCTCCATGCCCGTCCTAGCCAAGAAGACGACGGTATATCAAAAGCGTCTAACAATAACCGCAAGCGAATGAAAAATAACACTGAACAATCAATTAGCCCTGTAAATAAGATTACGCACGTCCAAGTTTCTACCTTTTACTCCGTACTGCTAGTCCTATCGTCTCCCTCTAATCGAAAGCCTTGCTTTCATACTAATAATCGATGACAAACTGTGAACTTCTTTTCGTCACCCTCACCGGACACGCTAACCAACATCTTCTTCAGCTCGACAAGCCAACCAATTAGACTTTCTTCTGCCCTTGCATAACACTCCTTGGGTAATATCCATCAACAACGCCATCCATCATAACCCTGCCAAGAGTCATAGATATGACCAAGCTGCCGGGTCATTTACTTGGCATTTGGCACAAGCATGGACGAACACGGACGTCAGATGGCCCGAGCCTCGGAGGAACTTCAACGATAACGTCGGTGCCAAATGGTGCGACATAGTACACGTATTACCTCTCGAAACTATAAAGACCCTACGGAGGCCCCAGTATTCCGATTCAGGGATTGTATTGCAAGTGATATATTGCACCAGGTGCAGTTTCAGGACGGACGGACTATTCATGTTGAACATCACACACCAAAACAACCCATCATCACCCAAGAGGCTGAATATTTCATCACCATTCGATTCTCTGCGAATTACTCATCGGTACATAAGGGAATTTGATCTCAGCAGCAACCTCCACTCGACATGCTGCTTGACAAAGCATCTCCGTCATCTGACGGGAACTGGTATATAACCCGCAGGTTCATACATGAACGAAAGGGCAAAGGAAAAAAAAAAACAAAAAAGAAAAAGAAGAAGAAGAAAAGATACGCCCTTGTTTCGCCTGACCTATCCTTTAGCCCCGGGTATGCAACAGCGTCTCGAATCATTGCAAAACCAGCTGCTCTGCTTTGTGGGAGACCTCGAGATATCCGGTCCTCGTTGTTCCCCAGCGTCATTAGCCTCTAGTCGTCCGTTATCCATCCTCGTATATGCGATGCTTTTCACCTCGATTAACACAACCGCTTTCGTCCATCCCTCCCGTCTCATCGCTCTGTCTACTTTCAGGTATCCAATGTTTCAAATCAGTGCAAGCCGCCCATTTCAGATTGCCAACACCATCCGTCATAAAAATAGAAAAGAAAACTCCAGTAGGTATTTTTTACAAGCTCACTGACAAATGAATCAAGCGCTCCACGAGTCCAGTGGTCTCCATGCTTATCGTTAGGCCAACATATTGGATGGCAACTTTTGTATATCGTCAAATGCAAGCTTCTTGAGGGAATAAAGACTTGGAAGGTCTAGTTCCCGTTCCAGGAATACTGATGCATGGCATCAAAAGAGCCACGTGGAGCCCCATTATAGACTGATGGGGGCTGCGACTGACTGGACTCCGTCTTCGTTGGCGACGCTCCCGTGGTTGTGTTCTTGTACTCTTCTTGGGGAAATGGGTATGGTCGAGGTTCGTTGCTGGCATATGCCAGGTTCGTGTTGTGTTCGCCAGCTGCCGATGTCCAGCTGTGCGAGGGCGTATAGTACTCCCTTGCGGGTACTGAGGGTGGTCCAGACGTTTCTGGGTTGTAATTCGGCTGCGCAACCTCGCTGGGGCTCTGGTGAACAGAAGCATACGGGGCGTATCGATATTCTGGAGACGCTTCGTTGTTTGCTACCGAGCCTGCACTCCTTATCGAAGGATGGCTCATGTGCCGTGGGCTTTTCAGAGGCCTCGGGTTGTCGACATAGCGAGGAATGTTCATCGCTTGCTCATGGCCGCCGAGCGGAGTTGTGTGTATCGATAGTTGTGGTGGGGCAGTTGTCGACTGCATATTATAGGTATACTGTGACCGGACCGGTGGGTGCTCCGAGTCGTTAGATACCATGGACAGGGGCACAGGAGGCTCCATAGATGACTGAAGGGGCATTCCTTGCGATTCGGCAGGGTAACTGGCAGTACCTGCCAAAGGCCCCCCCATTGATGCTGCTGGGTAGCTTTCAGCGCCAGAAGTCGGGACGTGACCCAGAGGTACCTGAGATTGAGGGGTTCCCCAAGTCGGATACGAACTATCATGAAAGTCAGTATTATCCACGTCAAAATCCAGGCTTTGTGTTTGGAAAGCAGCGGGTGCAAGCTTGGCATTCACATCTGCCCGGGTCGACTCTTAAGGCGAACTCACTTGGATCGAATTGGGCCCAACTGGGTGCCTGGCATCTTTGGCGCATTGAAGGTAAAGGCAGTGCGTGGGAGCTGTGCATCAATGCCTCTCGGCTTGGCCTCCTGGTGCTTTGCGCTCAAAGGTCCAGCAACGACTCCCAACCCCGTCTCCACCAGAGCTTGTCCTCGAGAGCCAGCACTCGATCCTAATAAAGGAATTTCCTTGCGGGCTTGGAAGTTGCGAGGGCTTCGGCCCCGAACTACAATAGGTGCTGTTGTCGATTCCGTGAGGACAGTCTTGGTACCATTGGCCAATGTCGCAACCACCTTCAGGTGCAGTACGAAATGTTGTTGTAGTTCCTTCCGACGACCATTGTTTGCGGTTGCACTGCGGCTCTGTCAGCAAACCGAGCGCGTATAGGCGCATCGATACAAACTTACATTCTAAATTGGAGTCGGCGCCAACCGATTGGGTATACGGCATATTCGCCATCAGATTCCGATCCATCGTCTTGGAAAGGAATCAAGGGTAGCGATTGTGGCTCCTGATCGGGGCTCTGGTTTGTCTCAGGAGAGTTTGGTGGAGGCGTCTTCCAAGGGATCACGATCAACCTAACTGGGTTTCCATCAACTGATTCGATGGCAGAGATGGTAACTTCCATGTTGCTGGCTGCAACGGTCTCGCCAGATTCTGTGATGACGGAAAGTTGACCTCGTGGGGTAACAAGAGTACCGCTGATCTGGAACAGATTCCTCCGGTAACAAGTCAACTCAGGCTGTCTGAGTGAACCGTCGGATGTGTTCGCAGGCATCTCGGAGAGAAAGAACATCCCATGGAGTTGAGCCGAAAGTTCGAGCTGCTGCATGCGCCCTTGCTGATCGACGATTGTGTGCTTGTCCTGAGTCCTCTTGAAAGCCAATAGCTTGTGCTCGTGGCTTGCTGACATCTTGGAGTTGTCGTCACGAAGATCCTGAACAATTTCTTGGTAGGCAGGGGGTTCTGCTTCAGAGAAAGACCTTTTCAAGTTTGGATAGCCGTGATGGGAGACAATCTCTGCGTGCGTGGGCCTATCGTATGCTTCTTGGTCTTCCTGAGGGTATCGATTGTAGGAATAAGAAGGCTGGTCCATCTCGTTGTGGTTACTGCTGGTTCGCCCTGGGAGTGGCGAAGAAGTTGAAGGCATAGGGTCTGCCACTCGACCCGGTATGTGTACGGAGCCTCCATAACTTGGCCACAGGCTCGAATGTCCTGGATGTCCTCGCAAGTCTGCCATAGTGGCCGGGTATGCCGCTGCGGTTGTCATGGAGCATAACCTATTCAACCGGCACCTACTCAACCAGACCAAGTTGTCTGGGCTTGACCCGTCACTAGTAACGTGGTCCTGAGAACATAAAAGTTGATACAAGCGAAGCTAAGTGACGACGGAACTTGGCGAGATGTAGTTGATGCAAGGTGTGAAAAAGGCGAAGGAGTAACACGGTATTCAAGGCACAGGGGAGTGATGTATGAGGTTGAAGGTGCAAGTGTGTACTTGTATATGGAAATGGATGGCGGCCAAAAGAGCGGCAGATGATGGAGGGGAGTGTTTGGTACAACACCCGGCACTGTCCCCAGGGTGGAGACCTTTGACGGGGGGATGTTTCGTGGTCCAGGCACAAGGACTTGGGTTGGCGTTGTCGACAAGACCTAGCTAGTATCGAGCCCGGAGAGTTCTTAATAGGAGCTCAATAAAGTCCGGTCACGAATGTCTGTGGGCTGGGAGACCGCTTCAGCGCATGCAGCCGTTCTTGGAAGGAGAATGAAGAGTGGAGGGGCGGATTTGGGAAACAAAACAGCCTGTTGTGATATTGGAGGCTGATTATGCAAATGCTTTGGCAATGCTGGGTGACTCGGGCTCTTAATACAAGACACTAATCCGTGTCGTCGTAGTAGTACGAAGTATCAATGGGACTTGGACGTGAACAATGTGCGTAGCTAAGACGAGCCTCATTGAACGAACAGTGTCATTGATGAGAGAAACACGTCTGTCTGATAAGGTGGACGGATGTGTCAATAGGCCGTGCTATGGAGCTTTGACGAAGCTATGCCCCAGAGCTTTTGATAGAGGGTCCAAAAGGAACCGCAAACTGCCGGGTACAGGCAGTTTAGCTGTTGTAGAGGACATGACCGACAAGCCCGGGGCCTTGACGCGAGGTGAGAGAAGACATCCCAGACACGCCCCAGCACAGTCCCTTGCCATGCCATCCCCTCGTCAGCGTCTACCGAGGGGTTCGAGAGACCCCCCCTGCTTGACAAACCCAGCATCAAGAAGGGCCATGTACTATTGACAAGTCATGACGCTAAAGTCTGGATAAGAGCATGGCATGTGTGTAGCATGGCCCACGTACTAACTACCCCATCCATGCTCGTTGGGATGAGATGGACAGAGCAAATGGGTCGAGCGGGGACACGGGGACTATCTCTTGAGGGCCCGGCAGCCCCCTCCCTCCTCTTGCAAGCTACCCTGTTTATAGCCAATCCTGAACCTTGATACCTGACCGGGGCACGTTGACTCTGAGAGAAGAATCCTCCGAGGTCTAGTGAAGGTTGCTGGCCCGCAAATTTCTAGAAAACCGTTGGACAGAGTTGTCAATGGGGCAACTCACAAGAACAGGGAGGTAAGGAAACAAAGGAAAACTCTGGTTTGAAGAGTTTTGCTATTGACCAGGATCTGTCTGTGTGCGGTCGACAGTTGCCCACAGACCTCACGACTGTTACGCGCGCATTGTGACTCAAGGCAAAGGTGCTAGAATAACACATTAATACATGGTAATATCAGCAGCCAAAAGTGACTGTCTGCAACCCATCGTCTGCTCGGTGAACAATGGAATGGAGACCCGGCCACAAGCCGGAGCAGATATTTGAGCGCGATCCGTTTTGGGATCGACTCGGGAGATGAGAAAATGGAGTACCTTCTTGGTCTGCCAGAAAGAGACGCTTAGCTTATGCTTACTCAAACCCTTTAGCGGCGGCTGATGGAGAAGGTGGAGTGAACGGCGCCCCATCACCAGCATACTGTATTGTACGTACATAACTCTCTGCATCATCGCATTATCCATTCGCAGCAGTGGTAGCCAGCACTGCTGCAGAGACAGGCGCGTGCCGCTTGCATAGGCACTGTGGCATCACAGCAAGCAGCAATGATATATGCATGCGGGCATATGTATGTATTGAAAGTCCTGCAGTATTGAAATGACAGCAGCGGCCTGAAGAGAGATAGCACGAACCATAGGTCCATAAATCAAGCTAGGATATCCATGTAATAGGTGGTCTGTGTCGCAGATGGTGGAATATTAAGTCAATTATTCGAGTGCTGTGGTAGAACGAGGCGACTGTTTTCTGAATCAGGGATGCTTGCGCCGCATATCAATGGAATTGAATTTGACCGAACGTGCGGAGAAGCTGGCTCCGGCATGCAGCCTTGTGTTTGATGGAGATTCAGGACCATGCTTGGTGTACCCGTATGGTGTTGGTACGGATACACAACTCAACAATTAATAAATTGTGGCTTTATTTTAAGCCATGTGGCTTTGAGCCAGCAGACTACTCCGTTTCCCTGGAATTCGAGATCCTTGTCTGGTAAGACATAGAAAACGTGCGCGTTGTAGATGGATGTTGATGCTAATGATGACGATGAAGACTGGTCTAGGTAGGTTAGTAGGTAGTTATTTAGTATGCCTAGCCGATGACCTTCACCAAAGGCAAGTGCAAGGCCAGGGTTTGCGAAGAAACGAAACAAGGCTCTTTCGTCACGACTCAGTAGTTGCTGTTACAGGTGCTCATCGTGGAGACGCCTGATACGAAATAAGAGCCTATTTGGAGATGGCTTCAAGGCCACGCCGTTGCATCGATGTCTCGCGTTGTTAATGGTTGGTTCGTTGGTGGAGAAAAAGATACAAAAGACGAGCAAGGTCTAGGTCCAGGAAAGATGAGACAAGGGCACGAGGGGAAGGCCCAAGGGGAAAGTGCTTTTGATGAATATTAACTGGGGGTCACTACTGCCCGCTGGGAGACTGGGACGAAGCAAGGGGACGTGCGAGGGGAAAAACTATGACCAGGGCAGGAGCCACTCAGAAGCAGAATTGATGCACTAAAAACGCAGAATACCAGAAGCGAGCCAGGAAAAGTCAAGAGCGGCCGGGGCCGTGCCCCTTCCCAACGGCCGCCCCCCTCAACGGCTGTCTCCTCACAGTGTGGTTGAACAGTGCGTATCTTATTCCGCACTGATTTTGCCGTCATTTGCTACTCGCGTTCGCGTTTACTTGACAAAAGCCTATGCGCTTCCACCTCCTCCAGGTTTCGCATGCATACAAGCATAATGAGAAACCTAATCAGTCGCGAGTGTGGCATGCTAATCGTGTGTTATTTTCGTCACCATGCTACTAGCCTCCAGGGGCGGCGATGACAACCACAAGCTTCATTCTTGAGGGCTTGACCGACCACAGATTCAATCTCAAGGGTCTCGGAGGTTCGGTTTAACCACCAGCACCTCGCTTAGAGACCGAAGCGAGGGGCTTAAACCATCGAATACACTATCATGGATCGTTATCGGAGCTGGCGAAAGCTCGAAACGTCCGCCTTATTTAGATATGCTTTCTGATCTCTAACCGGGGAACTCAACACAAAACCGAGTCGAGACCAAATAGAGACATCAAGCTAGCAATGACTTGTCCATCCAAGACCAAACGTTTATCATCCAGGAACAAGGCCACGGATAAGATGAGGCCGGCCCGCTTGTTTGTCTGTCAGGGTTCGTTACCATGTCGATTTCACACGTACTTTTCGACATGACAGACCTAGCAAGGATAAGCATATCTCCGATTGCACGAGACGCAAAGCACGTCCAATGCATTCATATCGCCAACGTCTAAATCCGCACAGACTGGCAGACTGGACCTTCCGGTATCCATATAATATACGATACCACAGATTGAGTGTTCAACGGGTGTCTCTTTCGGCCTGCAGCTCATCACGGCAAGAAGGCTGGTACATCAACTTCGGTACCTCCGCACTCAGTCAGCGATGCCTGGCACGTACTCCTTTTCGTCAACTCCCTGGTTCGAATAGCAAGCAACACACTATCTAGCGACTTTACAACCTCGACTAGGGCTTGATATATAAGATCTAGACTTCCAGCAAACAAGACTACCAAGTCCGCGCCCTGCCCTTAGGAGCATAATAAGACGAAAAACTATCGGACCCCAACTTTTGTATCAGGGATTGGCTTTCACCGGTGAATCGTTCCTCCTGAGACACGCGCCCAGGCGCCATTTCAACGGTAGCTCCTCGTCCCCAAGTACCCTGTCCCGCCGCCAATCACTCGATGTAACCATCCCAGGTGGCCACGGCGATTTTCTGAGATCTGGCAGTCCATTGCGTCTGCTGGCTCCGAAGCAACGTTGGAGTGAATGCACAAGGTTTCATGAGGAATGTTAGCCCTTGCAATGGGTCTTTGAGAGAATCAATGTCAGAACATCTCTCATGAGGAACAATCCGTGCTTTTCACTTCAGACTGATGATACACCCTTAATAACAAAGCGCCGGCAAAGAATTACTTTGACATGGATTTCATACGACTATGGTCGACAAACTTGTCATTTTCCCCAATTCGACGCAATTTCGATGCTCAACATTACAAATGATGAGTGAGCAGTACAAGACATTGCGCCAAACATTACCCAGTGCGTGGGATCCTCTATCAAGGGGCCAAGTCTGCGAATTGGGCGACTATTCTGGCAATGTGGATTCCGTCTGAGATTATGTTTCGCACATCCATGATCTTAAGACGCGGGTATTAAGATGGTTATCAGCAAGCTCTCGCAACACCTAGATTGATGGGCGATATGACATTAATATGATTGGTCATTTGAGCATGTCGCTAAAACGGCGCTGCAGGTGCATGCGTCAAGGTGCAGAATAACTCGAGGGAATCCATGCGCAAATACAAGAGCCATTGTCAGGGTATCCGCCCGCATTTTGTGTCACTACGCCGAACTTGAAGCTCGTCCCGATACTATTCATGCCCTACGCTATAGTGCGTGGGGAGGAGAGGGAAACACTATTAAAGTGTTTCATGGACGGGGTCGTCATGAGAGGACGTGTGAGAGGGCAGAGGGTAATGGTGAGTGGCTCTTCTAACGCAGCGTAACCGCAGGTGTTGCAACGCGCCAGCAGATCGCGGCAGTTGAACGCCCACAGTGCCATTGAGCTTTGAGTTTGAGAGCTCCCTTTCTACTGGCATCTGGTTTTAGCGTTAACCTCGATGGCTGCCGATGGGTCCCGCCCCCTGTTGTCTCAAGCACAAAGGTCCACATCCCTTCCGGGTTTAGAGTCAAGCAACCTCCAGCAGGCGTGGCTTGGGCTGGCTTGGGCCTTGTCTCTCCGGCCGGTAGTCCCATTTGGGTTACTGATCGCCTAACAACAGCCTTGACTGGGAGACACTTGAGTTACTTTAGTTACTTTGGGCGATGGCTCGATATCCCTTACCCTGGCTCCGTTGTCGAATACTTGAATTGTACATATAGACGCCGATCGAAACCGGCTCTTGATCACATTTGTTTGAATGAGGAAAGCCATTCATCGGAACCATGCAATCGATGCACATGGACCGATTGAGTCCCGGTCCCCTGAATCGACATACATCCGTTGTAATTATACGAGTCAATGCGCATGAAGTTGATAATGGTCGGCGAGATGAGCTTGTGGCTCTCATTCTGAGTTCAGCCTTGTTCCCCGGTAGTAGCTGGTCGTTTACTGCTAATCCCTGGGTAGACCTGTATTTCACTCACAAAGTTTCATTTCCGCGAATTGAAGCAAAGGACAAGTGACGACAGGCTGAAGTTTTGGGAATGTGAGCTCCTTTCTGGCAAGCTTACACTAGACAATCAGAGTTGGGTATGATATGTATGGTATGGGTATGCACTTGACGGCAGTGGCTTAACCTTTGGTGCGGCGAACCGGGGTTCGAATAACAAAAGGACGAAGAAACAATTCCAAGAGATTGAAACGAAACATTACAACCATAGGTAAAGTTGACTGTCCCCCCCAGCTACCGATCGGCACCTTTGTTAAGCCAACAGACCCAGACTAGCAGATCCTTGAACAATCTAGTCTACATACAATTCCTCCCACCTGGCCAGGTGCTGGTTACAACGGTACTGAACTAGCTGTACAATTGATTATGCGTTCTATATGCGGGGCGAACGGACCTAGGCTTTCTCAAATATCAGGCCATCATTTACGGCAATACGGATGTTTGGATACAAATGTCGGTTCACCATACACACAAAGCACGAACGCACGCTAGTTAATCTTCATTTCCCAACCTTTTGCAGCAACTTGGTGGGCGTAGGGATCCTTGTCGTTACACTTGGCCCACTACCGTTGACGACTGTTTGTGCCACAAGGATTTTGTGGCATTTTCAGCGCCTTGTGCTCAAGTACGAAAATGCCTCGAAAGGAATAGATTCTCTTTGACCATCTCGCTTGATCCGTGTACCTGCATCAGGTAGACTGCTAGGCACCTTGACGTGGTATCGCGAACTCAGCCCTACCACTCTTGTGTCAAGACACTTGTGTTTCGTGGTGCGCTTCCGGGTCTTGACTTACGAGATCCGGTAGCATTGGGCCAGTAAGTGGTCAACGCACGTCGCAATGTGTCCAGCATAAGAGCTCCCCCGATAGACCAAGTCGACAGGCTGATCATTACAGTTAAGCACCTGGGCGAGAAGCTAAGGGCGTAATTGAGAGCGCCCACACAAATCATTTGATTGCGACAGGGACAGGTCACAACATGGGAAAGGGTCCGATCCCGAAACAAAAACAACGGTTCTGTAAAGCCCTCAATTACGAGCCAGCATATCCCAGTCAACGGGAGTGAATGCTCACTCATGTTTGCTTTCAACACGTCATCCCGTGTAGTGCTTTAAGGCATTACCTATTGCGTGAAGGTCGGAGAGCCAGACTCAAGAGCAAGAGGCCGCCATATATTGATTGTTCTTACTGTTTACTCCTTGGTGGTCAATCCGTCGCCAGTGCTAGGAGTTATCGTTCGGCAATATTGATTCGACTTTCGTGGCCGAAATCCACCTACCCCGTCCTTAACGGCATCTCACCAATAGCGCCCTCGTTCTGCAACTGTCGGCTCGGATCAGACACTAAATAACTAACTACTGAGATGATATAGCCCGCCCGTGCGTGGGCGGACTTGTGCATATGCGAAAGCTGGAGGCAGGGCGGCGCCTGCAGGCAGGCCTCTGCATAAGAATCCCTGTTGGGTCATAGAGTTTGGACACGGTGAGCTCATTGTTGACGGCGACATGACCAGCAATTTGAACAAAAGAAGCTCGAACAAAACGATATGTCCTGGTTTATTCTTTAAGCGTTAGCCACCGTTACCAGCGTGTGTTAAGCCAGCTTGTGCATGTGCAGTACTCAATCTCCAACAGCCATTTTGTTAAGCTATAACGACGGGGGTCCAGTACGACACCACGTGAAAGAAACCTGGAGGCTGGAGTATGCATGCTTGTCCTTTTCTTCCGTGATAAAGCCATGGGGAATGGGCAGGAGGAGTGCCTGCGTGAAGAGGGTGTCATTGTACTTGGCAGCAAGCCAGCAAATCACCATGTAGCTCACAGCGGTACGGTACTTTTAATCCGATCTAACTTCTAGACATAGTTTAGGTTTGTGCTCTGACCTTTGAAGGCGGCAAGTCCTCGGGGCTCGTCCCTTTCGTCTTCCTATCACGAGTATCGCTGCTATCCAAGTTGGCCACGTTGACCTTGGCCGTTTGGTCATCCCGCGAACAGAAGCAGTACGGAGTAGCCAGGCCTATGTTATGGTCGGCCTAGACTATACGGAGCACGAGTATCTGCATCTCCAAGGGTCACTGTGTCGATCGACCAGCCAGTATGGAGAATACGGTACGAGCAAAGTCACATGGGTCAGCATGTGCCGTCCAGCACCACAAAGTATGGATCAACTGAATGCTTGGAACGAAACAAGTCTCAAGTCAGTACGGATACCGGAATATGCCACATCGATGGCAAGCCAAGCTGTCTGGCAACAGGGTCTTCTGCCGAGTGAAAACCCCGACTGGCGGTCTGCTTGACGTTACTCTGCAATCCCCGTACATGTAATGTAGGTGGAGGAGCCCACGTTCACCTTCGGTAATTGAGGAGGCATCATGCTTTGGTTTCGATAATCGGAGCATATTCCACACAAACCTAAATGAGCTCTCAGTATGAGTTCTTGTCACTAGGCGTACGGCCATGTTTCCATACGCAGCAGATCATCAAGTCACGACAGAGTCAAGCACTTACATTGAGTACGACGTAGTTCCACTCCACATATGCCCAACGGATGTCAAATTAAGTCTTATTTACTCCATACCTTGGCGGAGTCTATCTCTGATGCCGAAACTTCTCGATGGCAGTGAGACACTGGACACAGATAGGGGAGCTGATGCGCATGAGATGGGGGGTATGGGTTTGGTACTAACGTGCCGATTCAGGTAGGCATCCTCATTGTGGCAAAGGGACTCTCGTGACAAGATGGCTAGGTAAGCATATCGCCATCACAGAGGCGAGTTGACATCATTTGGGAGGTTGGTGAAGATGGGAGTTCATGCATGTATTTTCTATACATATGGAAAGGTATCTATCATTAAAACTGCAGCATCTTGAGTCATTACTGCGGAGCCGCGTATTGCCGGCTATGCGGCGCTTTCTTATGATCGTAAGGTCGTTTCCAGGCCACTGTCATCGAATAATCCAATTACCATCATCGTCATCCGAGTCGCCCTCGACAAGATCCTCCTCGTCATTAAGGGCCATCTGTACAAACCGACGAACCCAAGCCTCCTGTGCTGGATCAAGGCCGGCTTGGTTGTTCTCATCCTGGTCCAGCGCCGCCTGTGGGAGTTGAGGTTGTCTCGGGTTTCCGCGTTGACGATTAGCAGCAGGTCCTCCTCCGCCACGGGGCCCTACACCTCTCCCTCTCACTGCCGCTACCGCCGCCGCTGCTCCTCCTCTTCCCCCTCTTGCGCCGCGGCCTCGACCCGCTGCACCCCGAGGTGGGCCGTGATGTCCACGGCCCGCAGGTTGTTGCGGTGCGTCCGGAGCTGCGGGAGGAATGGCTCTGCGGCCGTCTCGAGCTTGGTTGTCAACGAGCCTGATAACGAGGGGTCCTTCACGGGCTATCTCGATGCCCTGACCTTGGCCGCCAAGATGTCTATTGTTATTCTGGGCGTTGATTTCGCCCTCGTCGTCGCTGTCATCGGACTCGATAACTTCCGGTAGGAGCTCAATATCATCAAAGGCCGGTGGAGGGTTCGCTGCTGGGCCGCGGCCGCCTATGAACCCCAAGCCAACGTCGTCACCATCGCCACCCTCAAGCTCCCATAGTCGCATATAACAAGACGTAACCTTGCCGCCGGCAAGTTGATTGTAGTGCTGGTAAGGGTTCACGGGATCGAGCCACGAGGAGCATAGATAGCAGAAGTGAGTGTCGCATCGTGAGCAGATCATGTGATTGCAGCCGTGTGTCTTTTGCGCGGGAGCGTTGCATGTCGGGCATGGACTGGTGTGAAGCTGGAGATACTCAAGCGATGCCTTTTCCTCCTCGCTAACCTCTCCCTTGTCGCGTCGTGGTGCGCAGCGGACAAACTCTCCATGCCATGACTGGTAGCACTGGCCGCAAAAGGCGAAACCACAGTCTTCACATATGGCCAGGAGATCAGCTTTGTTGAACCTGTCCTTAGTCGTCTTCTTTTTCGTCTTCACGCTACCATCATCTTCCTTCTCTTCCTCCTCTTTACCTGATTCACCACCAGACGTCTCGGCGAAGTCCAGCCCTTCTGGCTTCTTGTGACGCTTAGACCGGGCTGCTCCGTTACACCACTGCCGGGGACAGTATATCGTATTTTTATCAGACTCGAGCTCTGTCTTGTACTTTAGTGTGACATATCGCTTGACCATATCCTCAGAGAGCCCAATCTGAAGAAGCTCGCTGGGACTGACGGCGACTTTGGCTTTCTTCGTCTCCTGAGATGCTGCGCGTTCCTTCGCGCAGTTGGGACTTAGACATCGAACAACAGAGAGATTTCCCTCGTTTATAGCATCATTGTAAAAGTCCTGCAAACACTGTATACAGAAGATGTGGCCGCAGTCAAGCATCTTGTGACACTTGGTGCCCTTTTTGGGATCTATATCATGTCAGTATATGAGTGAAAGTGAGCTGTAGGGGACACGTACCGAGGCAGATACCGCAATCAAATGTCTCCTTCTCGAAAGCGGCCTTTTTGGCTTTGATATCATGGTCCAACACTGCAAGTTTGTGCTCTGAATCGACCTGCAGGGTTCCATCGGGGCTGATAGTGCCAAAGACATTCTCAGCGGCACGCTGGATGTGATCGATATATGTAAAGGCAACCATATCACGACCAATCTCATCCCACAAACGCGGCCCGTCGTCCTGAAGCACTTCAATAGTTTTTCTTGTTAACCATTGCGGTGTTGTCGAAACCTGGATTTCGGGCGGAACGTCTACAGGGTAGCCCTCAGGAAGACGGACTCTCAACCGCAAAGACGGGAGGTAAGAGACCTCCAGTGAGTCAACTTCAGGATGGCCATTCTCAGCCGCTTGAACAGAAGTCGCAAGTCCTGGGTGAGAGGGCGCAGATGCTGCTGGGAAAGTAACAGTAACTGGAGCGGCAGGCTCAACAGGGAGATCTATCTCAAAGGTGAAGGGGTCTTTTGCGTCAGGCCGACGAATCTCAGGGTATATAGCCTCGAGAGAGCCCAGCTCCATATAACGCGGATCATCGCTTTCGTCCATGTCTGCTATGAGTTGTTGCGAAGTTGGCGATATGAGTGCTTCATCCTCTGGTGGCGTATTGTATAGGTAATGCACTTTATCAAAGAGCCCTTTTCCAGAGTGGCAAAGCTGAGTAAGTCAAATATATCAAAGGACCTTTCTCGCTCAAAAATAATAACAATGTCCGGTCCTTAGTAGTGAGTTCTCTGTTAGGCCTCCATCGTCGTTGCTGTATTTCTTCCTTTTCTTTTCTTTTGTTCCTTTTCTTGCTTTCTTTCTTATCAAGACTCGAACATGAGGGTGCTTCCTTTGGTGGAGGTGCTTTTTATGTAAAGAGGGGCGAGGCGAGGGCTTTTGGAGATGGTGCCCAAGATAGGGCTACTTTGGGATGACCAATAAGTAGCAACCAGCGACAGAGACGATGATATTGTATTTGGGGTCTTAGTAATAGAGAAAATGATGTTATTCACGCCGAGGAGAGAGACGAAGAATAGAGTGCTCAAGTAAACTATGATGACTCTTTTCGCCGTCGTTGGAATCGGTACCTTCTTAGTTGGGTATCCGCTATTCAGAGATACTGACAAATGAAAGATGCGGGAATCCGACGGGAGCAGCCACATTTTTTTCTCAGAGGCTGCTGCCACATTCACAGCCACATCTGCGGGCCGCATCGTCATCTGCCTGCACACAAGCTTGAAACCTAGACTTTGATCTTCAAGATATTATATTTCCCTCTCAAGATTGCGCCGAATCAATTGCCTGCACCATTCATGCAAACCATATTAGTCAGAGGCACACGAGAGCTCTGCTGATAGAATGCAGCTATTCTTTATACGTTAAATCCAAGAACACCTATAAGTTGTAGCCCATCATGGACGATGATTCTACTCCCTTGGCTTCCCTCTCAGTCACACACGTCTACTATGTAAGTTTCACCGTGTATACCAGCAATTAAATTCATCTAACCGCCCACGCTGTAGGACCCTGAAGACTATTTATCCCTCGCATGCGCCTACCTCGCTCTCCTCCCCCAAGCCCTCTGCGTCGTCTACGCCACCCTCGTCCTCTTCACCCGCGAGGTCGAAGTCGCCCTCATGTTCCTCGGTCAGCTCGCCTGCGAAGTCCTCAACTTTGCCCTCAAGCGACTCATCAAAGAAGAGCGTCCGCGCCGCATACACGGCAAGGGCTACGGCATGCCCAGCTCCCACGCACAATTCGTCGCCTTCTGGAGCGTCTCCCTGGCGCTGTTCCTGCTCGTCCGCCACAAGCCGCCCCGCGTGCACCAGGGTCGCGCGGATAGCAGCGTGCACCGGCCCTGGAGTGTTCTCGAGAGAGTGGCAGTGAGCGTGGCTGGGGCTGCGATTGCAGCGGCGACGGCCTGGAGCAGGGTGTACCTAAACTACCACACCCCTAAGCAGGTTGTCGTGGGCAGTGTCGCCGGTGTGATAAGCGCTGTTGGGTGGTTTGTGATTGTCGCTGTTGTGAGGCAGACTGGCTGGTTGGGCTGGGCGCTAGAGACGCCTCTGGCAAGGGTGTTCAGATTCAGGGACTTGGTGGTGGAGGAAGATATGTGTCAGGCGGGTTGGGAGAAGTGGGAGGAAAGAAGGGCTGTTACCCAATCTACAAAGAAGAATAGATAGAGAAACAGCAACTATGAAGATCATATATCCTAGACAAATGTCACGCACGTATAGGAAAGCTGGAGCATGGTGCGTATTACGCTATCTTGAGATATGAACCCTCAGGAAAAGTCTATCGTGCCACATTGGCATCATTTATAATGCCCATCACGATGCTTGAGAGCCCGCCAAAGATCTTTCCGTAGCTCTTGGATCAGTAAGCCTCGACGGTGAAACCTTGCTAAGATCTAAATCGACCATAACATTCACATAAGTCTGATAGTGACATTTGTCTGATCTTCTGAAATTATCTATATATAAGTGGTTAAACCTCGAGGCTGCTATCTAAGAAGGCTCCAAGCTACAGAAAAATACAAAGGGAATCGTTGCAGTTGCTAAACAGTTCGTAAAAGATCGTCATCCTGGCCCCCGGCCCTGCCCTTCCTTTTTCTTTTGTCCCAGAACCTATCAGATCCACGGCCCTTTCCTTGCCTCTGGATCGGCTCTTGAACCTGCGCGACTATGTACTCTGCCTGTCTCTGGGCCGGCCCTTGAGTTCTGACGGCTGTGTATTCTATTTGACTCCTGTATTGTCCTTGAGCCTTGGCGGCTATGTACCCTGCTTGGCTCTCCCATGCTTCTTGAGCCTTGACGGTTATGTGCGTTGGTGGAACTGACTGATCCCATTTTGGGAGTATGTGAGAATGGCCCTGGCTTTTGCTCCTGAGGGCTGTACACGGCCGAGCTGAGGGTTGTCTCTGGCGGTGTAGCCATACCCGCGCTCAGGGGCACAGGTGGAAGTTCTTTCTCAGTTAAGTTGTTGTCAAAGTTGTCTTGGATTGTATAACTGGTGCCCTCGCCTGGGACGTCGACAATGGCGATGGCAAGTGGACTTGTTTTTCTTGGGAAGAACCTCACTGTGCCGTTAGGACAGTCGAGGTTGTGCACAGGCTCTGGGTCTTGTTTGGGTTTGGGTTCGGAAGGTCGCATGTCAGCAATGTTGGAGAGGCGTAGGCCAATCTGCACAGTTGCCATAGAGAGCATCGAAGCACCACTCGCGCGAAGGTTCCTGTTAGGTAGACGAAGGCCTGGCGGTGCGAGCAAGTCGTCAGCAAAGTTTTGAGGCGGCATCTTTTTGGATGCTGTGTCCTTGTATGTTGTTGTTGGCAGTAGTATAGGTGATTTGGGTGGCTCGGCCTTGGGGAAGATGCTGTACATGCTCCTCTTCAAGTTCCTGATAGACTCCTTCGATGATGTGCGTATAGGTTTGGGTGCCGTAGGAAAGTCGTCTGACTGGCGCATGGTCGACAAGCGCAAGGGCTTCAAACCGGCCTTGAGAAAGTCCTTGCGAGCCCCAAACACTTTGTCCTCGACTCTATCGTCAACCAAAAGGCTTTCCTTGCTATTGGCCTTGTGGGCCAACTTGGGCAGCTCAAGGGGCTGTAGCATTGCTGATCCAGGGGTTTGAGGTTCTTGATCCTGGTCATCACCCCATTTCTTGAAACCCTGAGACGCCTCGATGTCGTCATCAGAGCAACCAGTCGGGGATTTGCTCGAACGCAGAAAGAGGTAGAGGCATCCAAGCAAGAGCCCTGACATGTTGGTTACAACAGTCGCGATTGAAGCGAGCTCCATTGTTGTGTTGCTTGATGCACCTGGATCCTGTAAAGCCGTGTTGTAGAAAAACGTGACCTGCAGAGTCTGTTTGGGATTAGTATAAGCAGTTTCTTGCAGATCGATCGGTGTACTTACATATGAGATGACGGCAATCACCATGAAGTAAACCATGCGAGACGCCTCGTCTCTATCAGCGACACTCATTCTAGCTCCAGTGTGGAGCTTAAAGCAAATGAGCCCGCATTCAATCAAGACAAGAACGATAACTGTGAGTAAAGCTCCAAAACATCCGGCGTCGTAGCGATGTAGGTAAGAAAGCAGATTGGCAAAGCAAAACTGAGATGGCCGAACGACGAAGGTGATGGAAAGCACAATGATCAAAAGGACGCTGATGGTTACAAGACAGGCAATAGTGTTAAACCGTCCGCGGAATGGGAATACTCTCGGGCTCATGATGCGAATGGTTAATTCCATCCCAAATACCATCTGGATAAAGGGGACGATGAAGAAGGCTGCAGTTTTGTTAATATAGTCGACTAAAAGCTTGTGAAGGCTCTAACTTACCTGGCAGCATCGTTTGTGATATCATTGTACAGCGAAGAATCATGAGTGACTCGAATCCCTTGGATTGAGCGATGGCATACACAATACCTTGAGCTACGATGCCCAAGGAAAGGGCAAAGGGGTAGACATCTCGCCCCTTGACAAGTCGAAGCCAAGATGACCTAATGAATTAATGTGAGAAGAGCTTTCGGGTCAAGAAACAGAGTGCTTACCTTAGATCCCACACTGGCTCTGTCCGTTTCAGTGTTCTCCATGATCTCAGGAGAATGCTGACAGCAACCGCGAATGCCATCAAGAGGTTGAAAATTGCAAGGACCACGATCGAAGTGCGGACTGAGCCGGCCGCGGCAAACTTGAGTTCGTTATCCCATTTTGATGTTGAGTTTGCCTGGAACTGGAAGCCGGTCGAGATCGTGGATGTGGTATCGCCGTCCATCTTGTCTGTTTTCTGTTCCCGTTCGGAGTGGTTTTGAGGAATTCAAGAGCAGGCTTCAAGCCTTTACAGTGCCGGCACCGTTGTTTTTTTGAGCCGACCTAGTTTCCCATGTCGATAATCGATGTTGTTGTCGGTGTCGTTTAAGAATAAGAAGAGGGCGACGATTGAGAGTAAGAAAGATGACGAAGAGACGAAAAAGCACAGATAGACGATTGTTGAAGCAGCAGCAGTAGCAATATCCTTAGCAGTATGGCCTTGAACGTATATCAAGCCAATTGAAGCAGAGTCGAGAAGCAGTAAGAGACCAAACACACAATGAATGCACCCAAGGAGAATAAAACGGCACCTGGCCTGTGGCAAACGAATGTACGATTGAAAATCAAGGAAAGAAACGAATATCAGTCATCACCAACTAGGTGGAAGGAGGGAAGAACAGGTGATGGAGGCGATACGTATATATGGACTTGATATCTCGAATCAAGGGCAAATCATATCGGGCGGGAAGCTAGATTGCTCTAGATCCGGTGGATGTGGTATCCCCTGCGCGACTCAGAAATATCCCAGAGGGCAAGGATCAAGCTACTTCATGACGGAGATTGGTAGCATTGGGAATGCGTGCCCCTGTGCTGCCCTGACAGCTGGTGGTTGAATATATGGAAGCCAAGCCCAGCCCAGCCATCGCCCGCATTAGGGCGAGAAGGGTATTGTTTCACTCGCGAAGATAGGGTTTCCGGGATCATTCTCGAAAGGGTTGACCAAGGTGGGGTTGTGTAAGAGAACGTTGATCTGCCAGTAGGAGAGCTATGGCTGGCGCCTCATCAATGAGGAGGTTGATTGTTGACGATTGCCATTTGAGTATTGGATAGACAGCCACAACTGCACCTGTACCCGTACCACTTGGACTTGGTTCCAGTTACAGCTCGTGATAGTGACATGTCACTAGATAGCAGCTAGTTGAACGACCTTCTCAAAGCAGAGTCGTCTCTGGGTGAAAGGCCGCTGGTGAGCGCCGGCTCCAAAGAGGCTGAAGCAGAGTTGTTACAGAGTCAAGTTTCGTCGTGTTGTACTCCGTAGTCTGAGAGGCACGTTAGCATGGCAAGCATGACAAGCATGGCAGGCATGACGGAGTGGTGTTAGTCCTAACTGGGCTAGCGCAGAAGCCGTTTTTACGTTTTGTGCAGCTGGGCCGCAGATATAAAACACGAGGGAGCATGGATGCAAGGGGCAGTAGCGAACCAGGCTAGGCGACTTCCCGCATGAGAGAACCTAAAGAAAGAGTGCCAAGCCTGATCGCTATTTCCTAACCTGGATCAGAGGAGCTTGAGGTTTCAGAGCTTCAGAGGATAGGCTAGAAAGGCTAGAGAGACCAGAGAGGTTCAACTCCGTAATGGCAGGCCACACGGATCCTCCTGCTGCCGGAGGGCGGGGAGAACGGCCGGCCACGAGGTATCCATAGCTCTTGACGTTTCGCAAGGATCAGAGCCTGCACCCGGTCACAGATCTGTCAGCTACAGCTACAACCTACCTAGTAACTACAGAACACATAATACAGTGAAGTTGTGAACTACTAACCTACTCTACCTACCCACTATGTAACCCAGCACCTAGCTACACTACCTAGAAGCTACAGAGGAGTTCATAGTTCGCTAAGGCCTAAAGACTAAGGGTCCTTTGGTGGAGGTCTCCATTCTTGTTTCAAGACTCAAACTCATAAATCTCTAAGCGAGGGCAGGCAACCCACGTCAAGCTTGATATGCCGAACTCTTGGCAGTTCGTGTCATTTTTTGCTCTACTGCAGCCGTAGATTGACGCGATCCATGCCCGTCGGCTCTCGTTTTCTTTTTCTTTTTCTCCTTCTTCTACATACCGAGACATCCCGAACGAAACATTGGGAGACTGGGGAAGGAAACACTTACAGGTGGATATCTTAGAATGAGTGTCTTGAGATACTCGAGAGTCGAGAATGAGGAAGATTACAAGGGCATTCTGCACTATACCAATGTTATAGCTTATTAAACGGATAGCTCGTCTCTGTTCATGACTAGTAGTATTCCTTCAGTGACTGGTCAGTATTCTTGACAAATCGCAACAGCAGAACCAGAACCACATTATGTTGGGGAATGTCTCAGTGTTCTATAATGCTTTGACAAATACACGACTCCCACGGAAGCCGGGCTCAGGTATATCTCCATGCAATGCAATAACTCATACGGAGTATCTCTTTTCTTATTCCATCTACATTCCACGCGGCCAACGGATGTTGAGCCGTAGTGAGAGTTGTTCCCCCCTCAAACTACCTCTCGACTAAGGCCAGGGGTACTATAGTAACGAGTAAGTGGCTTGCAATGTGCTTGATGAGAAAGACTTAACAGTCTGTATTAACTACCCGGAGCCCTCGAGCATCTTTGCATGCAATCTCGGGTCCAGAATACTTGCTCGTCACCCTAGCATGATATGACGGTTGGTTCAAACGAAGGTGTTACTAAGGACTTACGTAGTTCCAGATCCCAAAGTTTAGTCCAAACCGTGGCCTTGGGATGACAGGTCTCTTATTATAGCTCTGTTTTCCCAATGGCTTCGTGTTGTATCCCTACATGGTCCATTGTCTCTCATCCCGTCTTTCTGCCTCCAACAAAGATTAGCCTTGGCCTTGTCGTGACGTGACGTGACGTGACGTGACTTCTTGATACTACGTTTGGAAGATGGAAACTGACCGATAGTTCCACGGTTTGCTTGCAACTATTGTTCAGTTTTTCTCATTGTAGTGATCAAACGGGAGAGCAACTCTTTGTTCTGTTCAGAGGGTGTCTATCGCTTAAGGCTTTGTGAAGTTTCATGCGATCGATTTCCCTTTAGCATCTTGATTTTGAAACAGTTTCACATTCTACAATCAATTCAAGCTGGATGAATATTTTAGTTCAGTTGTGCATTACTTTTGAATCTTCTTTCGTATAATTGCTAAAGCCTTGGCTTCATGCTGAGCTACGGTGGTGACAACACTAAAGCAATGGGACATTTTAACGCATGAATCAACGTAGGGGAGAAGTCCCATCCCCATGGGGTAGAGGGGTTCTTTAAGTCAAGTATGAGGCTTTAGCTGGTTAAGGTGATGTAAAATACATACCTGCAATAGTAGTTTAGTTGGAACGAGAGCGGAGTGTTGTATTGATTATGCTTATGTGTACGGCGTTAGGTCGTACTGAGTAAGTCTCCGTCAGCCATTTCTTGATGACATTATACACTAGCAATAGATGACAATTCAAGAGCGGCCGACCGGATTGAACGAGGTTTTTATGCTGATCACGAATGTACATGTGTGTGTTTGTGTGAGTCGTGTATTATATTTATTCGGTGGTGTAGGGTGTTCACATTCACCTAACCTGGACCTATGGTACCCGACTTGACGTTTGTTGGACAGTCTCTGATAGAAGGGTTACCAACATTGGCATGGCAATACTTCTCTTGTAATTCGTCAAGATAAACTTCTCACATTAGTGTTATTGGTAAGATCTATGTTTGTTGATTCAGCATGTTGCAACTGTACCATCTGGTGTTGGTAGACCTGAATACGAAAGGCTAAGGTAGCTTTGCTCTACGTACAAAAGACGGTTCCGTCGCTTCACTTGTCAATAGACTAAACAGGTTGAATCAGAAGAAGGCAGCAGGATTAAGGTTTACCCTAATTAGAAACACCCTTCAAAATCAGAACACAACATCGTCAAACTCGGGCAGTTTCTACATACCTACAGTACAGTGAAGGAAAAGAAAAGTGCTGTAAAGTAATAAAATTCAGTGCCCCCCCCCCCCCCCCCCCCCCCCCGCCGTGCCATCTACCATCTGCCCCGCCATTGAGCCCTGGGCGCAACGTCATTCACCATACGAACAACACGAGACAGCAACAAAACACAACAATCGCAAGCAGCAATCATACCATAAAATCCTCAACAATTAAGCATGGGGGAACATTCGGGAAAACACATACATTTCCAGGACGGCGATTGCGCCTCAGATGGAAGCTCGGACGATGGAGGCAAGGCAGTAGAGGTACGATCAATCCCACCCTCAACTACTCCGAACCTACTCGAACGATAGCTAGAGAATCGCGCGACTGATAATGTCGCCCTCTTGCAGGTCGTCTTCGATCCAGGAAACCCCTATCGTCGCAAGAGCTCAATGGTCGCTTCAGAGATCAAAGCGCCTGTTATGCGACACCCTGAACGTCGCGGCGAGTGTCTTGTCCACCAATTCCTCGACAGTCAGCGACGTGCGAAAGATGCTGCCAGTTCAGCCAGCGAGGCCGACTCGGAGCACTCCCTGGGACGGAACTCCAACTCGTATATCAGCAACAACCCGGATACTAGTCATGCTACCTTCCACAAGGCCTTGAACGGCAGCCATAGCCAGGTCGAAACCGTTCGCGACGAGAGCCTTGACACGATCGTCGACCCAAAACACCAGAAGAAGTGCCGCGCTGTCGTGGAGCCTGGTAGTATGGATCACTCTGGCCAGAGCGACCAGCAAGCTTGGACACAGCAGATGACAAACAGCATGTCTGATATTGATCTTACGCGATACCAGGACGATGTGCGAAGTCGTCTACTGACCAAGCAGCAGCTCAGTGATATGGCATGGGGTGTACGAGAATTGAGTCGCCGGCTGAGCAGCATGCGCCTTCGGTTCAAGGTCAAGAGTATATTCATCCTGACAAAGATCTACGACCAAGACTTGATCCCCAAAACGCGGGAACTTGTCAAATGGTTACTGCAGCATAGCCACGAGGTTGCTTATACCGTCTATGTTCAGGATAAACTGAGGAGTAACAAGAAGTTCGACGTCAATGGAATCATTGATGAGGTGAGCAAAGGATACGCCGAGGCGGGCAAGGTGGACGAACAGGCGGTCAGAGAAACACTCACCAAACGATTACGGTACTGGGATGAGAATATGTGCCGAACAAGACCTCATACCTTTGACTTTGTCATCTCGCTCGGCGGTGATGGCACAGTACTGTACGCCAGCTGGCTATTCCAGCGCATCGTACCACCTGTGTTGAGTTTCGCACTAGGAAGTTTGGGCTTTCTTACCAAGTTCGACTTTGAGGACTATCAGCAGACTCTCACAACTGCCTTCACAAAGGGCGTCACAGTCAGTCTAAGACTACGGTTCGAGGGCACCGTGATGAGGAGTCAGCCGCGCAAGAAATCTCAGCTCGACAAGAGCTCCGAGGATGACGACGAGATGTCGCGAGACCTGGTGGAGGAGCTTATTGGCGAGGAGAGGGAGGACGAGCACACGCATCGACCGGATGGGACGTTTGAGATTCTGAACGAGGTCGTTGTGGACAGAGGACCAAACCCAAGTAAGAACTCCAGAGCGCATGTTACCCTTGCAGGAGATGTCCTAACATGTATTCTAGCCATGTCAACTACCGAGATCTTTGGAGACGACGAGCACTTCACCTCAGTGCTGGCTGATGGTATCTGCGTGTCGACGCCCACCGGCTCAACAGCGTACAACCTCGCCGCCGGAGGTTCCCTGTGTCACCCTGAGAACCCCGTGATGCTGGTCACGTCCATATGCGCGCACACGCTATCCTTCCGACCGATCATCCTGCCCGACACCATCGTGCTCCGAGTCGGGGTGCCGTACAGCGCACGAACGGCGTCATGGGCGAGCTTCGATGGCAGAGAGCGCGTCGAGCTGAAGCCAGGAGACTACGTAACCATCAGTGCGAGCAGGTTCCCGTTCGCTTCGGTACAAGCCGAAGGGCGCAGAAGCGAAGATTGGGTGAACAGCATCAGCGGGAAGCTGGGATGGAATACAAGACAGAAGCAGAAGAGCTATAAAGAGTGGGAGAAATGAGACAGCCTGAAAAAAAGGTATGATGAATGATAGCTGAAATCAGGTTGCGAATATGCATAAATAGGCTGGACGGCGTTTGACGGTAGATTATAGGGATGGCGTTGACTCTTGGCCCAGTGAGTTGAGAAAAACGCGTCTTGAAGCTGGTCCTATTTGAGATCTTAAGAACTGTTTCGAATACGAAGCTGATTGATAGATATATTAGATGTGACAGGATCAACTAAACCAAGGTACCTATTCCTGTACCCCACACTGGGCGTTGGGATCACCGCGTGAAATGAAATCAGCCCACCGCAATTAACTGTGTTCTTGACTCCGACACCGCTTCTCTTCAGAAGAGCTCAATTGAAGCTTCCACTCTATAATTGAGCGTGTATTTTAATCAATTGAACCACTGTCGGCTCCAGAATCTATCGTAATGGCTGCAGAAACCGCATCATCCCTCCCGCCCGACCTGTTCGACCAAACAACGATAATCTCCCTCCTCTCAACCCTCGCAATCGTCTTCGCTGCGTACGCCACGTCTCTCAAGGTCCTCCCTTCGTCGACCTCGGGAACCCTGCGCTTCCTCTTCATATGGCATCTCGCCGACGCGCTGTGCCACTTCCTCCTCGAGGGCAGTTTCCTGTACCACTGTTTCTTCTCGCACCAGCCGCTCCTCGCTGATGCTAAGACGGACCTGTTTCCTACACCTGCTGGGTTCCTAGGTTATGGCGATCGCGTATATGGCGCGCAGTCCGGGGGCAGCAATCCGTTTGCTCAGCTGTGGATGGTCTATGCGAAGGCTGACAAGAGGTGGGCTGGTGTGGACTTGGGGGTTGTGAGTCTGGAGCTGTTGACGGTGTTGTTTGATGGGCCGTTGGCTGTTTATGTGTGCTATTGTCTTGCCAAGAAGGATCCCAAGGTTAGCATCTGGATGATTATCCTGGCTACCTGCGAGCTGTATGGAGGTAAGTCTTGACAAGGCCACTATCATGAGGTGGCAATTTGCTAACAGTCATTAACTTAGGCTTCATGACTTTCTGCCCCGAGTGGCTCGTTGGAAGCCCCAACCTCGACACGAGTAACTTCATGTATCTCTGGGTCTATCTGTTCTTCTTTAATACTCTGTGGGTGTGGATTCCACTGTGGATTATTTGGTACTCGGTCAAGGACATATCAAATGCTCTAAACGTGCGCCAGGGGAAGAAGAACATATAGTAATGAAGGGACAAATTAAAGTAGAGTAGAAATGCCACAAGTTTTATCCCAACTATGGGACTCCTATATATAGATCATCCTAAAATCATTTTCTTGACAATAACGGCAACATATTTTCTTTCTGAGTGGATACACTTGTGACAACAAATGTTGCGAATTCTGTAATAGACCAGGGTTAATAGCCAAGGTAGTTTATCTCTTTAAAGCTTATAAGACTATAGTTAGGTACCAGGTCACATTAACTTTAGTAACCTATAAATCTTGATATTATCATAGATATCTATATAAATAAAAGCTAATAAGAGATATATCTAAGTTGGAAATAATCTTATAGGTAGGTAGCTCTTATTTATAACTATTTTCTCTTATAGAAAGATAGCTAATTAGATTATCGGTCTTAGTTATAAAAGGTATAAACTGTAGTCTTATAAGCTTTAACGAGGTGATATACGGTTGTGAACTTTCTGGAGTAATTAATGGGCAAGTATCCGTAATCGTTTTGTAGAATTCCGACAGCAGATATGTCAAACAAAAAGGTAGGCTAACAATTCATGGGCTAGGGTGGGATAAAAGGATATATATTCTGTAAAGAAAAGATCTGAACACTTCCTACCAAGGTTAAAATGGTAAATTTTTTCGTGTTACTACTATCGAAATGTTGGTATACCGCTAAAGTATTTAAGTTTTATTACAACTCGTATAGGCACTTGTACTAATAACATATCACTTCAAACATGCACAATTGAACGAACATGGGAGTCTTCATATGGATTTCATAGATTCATTGAAGAGCTACTGAGCTTGGGTATCTGTATGCTCGACATTGGCATCACTGCGTCTCATTTCGCTGAGACACAGCCAGAACTATTTCTCATGATATTGAAGATTGTTTAGATGGCCTCCTTGTAACCTGAAGCCTTGGTGTCGTGCTTCTCCTCGTTGGCCTTGTCACCGAGGGCATCCTTGGCAGCAGAAGCTCTGTGAGAGGTATTAGAGTCAAGTATTGAAGTTGCTAAACATGCTGTGGAAAACTTACCGGGTGCCGATGCCGGCGTTGGAGTCCTTGGCAACGTTCTTGTTGGCCTCCTTGCTGGTGCCGGCGAGTCCCTGCTGGACCTAGGGAAGTATTAGGAAACTGTATTGGAGAGAATTGTAGAGGAATGGTTCGAAAAGCAAGATATATCATCATGTTGGCCACAATAATATGCTCCAAGCAAATCGAGAAACATCCAAATATCTCAGGAGAAGGCGGCAGAAACTTACAGTCTCGGTGGCGGAGTTGACGGCGTTCTTAACGGAATCCATTGTGAAGAGTTGTGTGGGTTGGAAAGGTTGTTTTGTGAAGTTGGTTGTAGATGCTTGAGATTGTTTAGGATGATGAGAGAAGAAAGGATCTGGACTGGAGAGAGGGAATGAGGGTTTATATAGAGACAGGCTCACAAGTTAAACAAGCAAGAGAGCATCCCGTCATCGAGTGTTTGACTATCCGTATCCTAGCAGTTTGTGAATTACTGGGCCCTCCTACTTTGCCTGTCTGTGCTACTAGCCAGAGCTCCTCTCTCCAGCTACAAAGGGAAAGAAACTGTCATGTGAAGAAGAGATATGCCGTCATAGACTACCTGCTGCAGACAAAGTCCTACAGATTGCCTAGATGCAAACGGGAGATATCGATTGCACCCCCAGTATAACCAGACTCATCCAGCCACTTGGGAACGAGATGGCAGAGGCAGAGGCAGAGCTCGGCGAGTTTGGCCTGTGATGGTTGCTTGAGATACCATGCCTGACGTCAATCCATCACTCCAACGTCATCTCGATGAAAGCACCTGGGGCCCCCCGTATGTACGCGTCGTGCGCGTCGCGGGGTACCTGATTAGGAAGCCCAGGGCGTCTGGCCACTTGAGCTTCAGCTTCTATACCCTCTACGTAAGACATCGAGATGGTAGCAAATGATCAGCCTCGGTCCCCTTGCAGGTCTTCAAAGATGAGCATGAGATTTCGCCTCTATCTTTCTATCTAGCGAAAGATGCTGTAGAGATTGACGTGAAGCAGATGTCATGTTAGAGCTCCTGAAGTTATTTTCCTTTTTTGGAATGCGACCCACTTTCCGCTCCAGCGTGTTACGTGATGGGTTAGATGAGCGAGCTCCACAAATATGAAGCATAACGGCGCCACATAGCGGGGTACGAGCCTAGGAGGGAGGAGCGGGGAGAGAATGTGGCGGTGACGTGGCAACTGGCAAGAGCTGTTATGACGTTATAGCTTCTATCTCTGGTTACCTTGCCTTGTTCTAACCTTGTACATACTCCAAGCTCCAATCTTGGTCATCTCATGGGACATCCGAAGTATGGAGTACGGATGCATACGGAGCAGAAGCTTGCCCTTTCTGCTTCTCTTGCTTCTTTGCTTCTCTGCTTCCTGCCCTCCGCTTGCTTTGATTGGCCTCCTCCACTGTTTGGCGACGCTCACCATCGAGATTCCTCCACTCGTGGTCTATTTTGCACGGAGCAACGCCTCCGCCATACCAGGTTTGCTACTGTATCCATTCTTGTTTGAGATTTTTGTTTCCTGGTTTTCTTCTATGCCACCACCGCCTCTTTGTGGATGGATGTCTACTCTGTCAATGTTACTCTAGCCACCCGTCATGTCCAAATGTCCACTGAGTTAGCGGTGGCTTTTGAGCTGGTTGTTTGTTTGTGTCTGTACTGTAGCTTGGACTTGGACCTCAAGGCTGGCACACACACAAAGCTTCAGTAAGCTCTTTGAAGAAGCTATGATCTTTCCTGGAACCATCCGTCAGATCTTCCATTTCTGAGGCCGATGATGACTCTAGCTTGTCTCCATGGAGCTTGTTGGCTGGGTATCATGGCAAAAAGTTTCATCAGCATGCCAGAAATCACTTCTCCATGATTTCATGTCCAAGCTGCCAGGTCATGCTGCCTTACTTTATTGCAGATCAGATCGGTCTAGACTCCAGACTTGGTCAAGAGCGGATCTGTTGTGTATCAAGATGGATCATGGACTCACCCAGTCAAGCTCAGGCCGAAGCTTGCCTTGCCCAGCCATTTATTCCCGTCGGCTTTGCACCCGTAGCTCCCGTCCTATCCTATCGCAAACCTTGAAGCTCCACGGTCTTAAGCTTGTTAAGCAAGCTAGCACCAAGCTTCTGCTTCGAGATTTCGATCGATGACCCTCGACAAACTTTCGGGTACCTTTGCACCCATGTGCGAATCTGTGTAAGTTTTCATGTATGACCGTCGGCAATCGGAAGAGCAAATACGACGATCATCGGAGCACATGAAGACGTGTAAGCATTGCAGCAACTCGAGTCTCTAGTCCCAGGAGCGATCAATATCTTAACTTAGCTTCCTTCGCGTAGGATTATTATGTGCAATATTAAGTTAAGCGTAGTTGACGACTTATCCGAAAGCACGGAAATAACTCATTCCACTTTTGCGGCTTAACAGTTGATGACCCTTGTAAGAGATAGATAAAATGCGCCATGTTGTCCCTCGGACGTACGACACTTGGACCGAGTCTCCAAAGATAAACTAGGGCTCTTTGCTCCGTGGCAGTTTCTTGGCCGAAATGTGTTGGAAACTGTTCTCGAGTAGTTGCTTTGAGTTATGAACGTGCAATAGAGCCCTGGTCAAAGAGTTATGGGACTCGTCACGCTTGAATCTGGATACCCGGTCCTCATATGTTCAATCTGACGAGATATGTTTGAACTGCGCCTTGACTCGATGTCGCCAACAGAACAAGACGGGTAAGTTACTACGGTTGACATACAAAGACTTTAACAATTTCACATCTACTGCCTTAACCCCAAGCTCTAGCAGACATATAATAAATTAAATATAATTATAATAAGACTAATATCTTCTAAGCTATTATCTAAAGGTTTTATAAAATTATTCTACCCACTAGTAATCTAATAGAGTTTATATATAAACTTTAGCACTGCATAGTATGATTTTAATTCGCAGTAGCCTAACGTGATTAATAAGTATACGTCGTAGATAAGTATATATCGCACTTTTTTATATACCCTTTATTATCTATATAATAAAATTACTATAATTAATCTAATTAATTAAAATTACTTACTATACTCTTACCTAGATAACTTTAAAACTACTTAATAGGTCTTTAAATTATACCTAGCTATACTATATATACTATAATATTAAATACCTAGTCTAATTAACCTTCCTTAAGTACTATTCTTTAATAATTCTATAACTACCTATATATTAATATCTATTTAATTAATTATTTATAATACTTTTTATATAGTTATAATCCTTTTTTTTTATATAATTTTATCTTTTTTAACTTTTAATATTAACTTAATATATTATTTCTTTTTTAAAGAATTTATTTTATTTTATTAAGGTAGGTTTATATATATTTCTTTTAATTACCTTAATAAAAGATTAAAAAGCTTTAATAATTAACTTTAAGGAATTACTATAATACCTTTTTATTTAATCTTTAAGGTATTTAATTTAAGATTAGGCCTTATTTATTATTATTAAGGTCTTTAAAGTCTAAGGAAAGGAAGGTTTAATTACCTCCTTAAGAGGTATTAAAGTCTATAATTATATATTAAGCTTTAAGATTATATTTTTTAAATTTAAAAAAATAAACCTAGCTTTTTTAAAACCTTTTTAAATATTACTTTTCATAAAAGGTATTTTAAATATAATATAAAAAGTAAAAAAAAGAATTTAATCTTTAAGATATAAATTATATAATATCTAATTAAATACTTTATTTTTTAATTATATACCTTTTTTAATACTATAAAGTACTTAATATTAAAAGGCTAAAATAAATAAAATATATAAATTAATATAAAAGATTTTTTATTTTAACCTTTAACTTTATTAAGCCTAGGCTTTTTAAATCTCTTAATAATATTAATAATAAAAATAACCTTTTTTAAAGTTAAAAACTTAATATAATTAATATAATAAAAGTTATATATAGTAACTAAGCTTTAATTAAATAAATATATATACTATTATATAACTATATATATAAAAGCTAGCTTTTTTTATATCCTTAACTTAATCTATACTATAAGTATATTAATTAATTAACCTTTATAGCTATAATTAGTTAATTAACCCCTAGTCTCCTTTCGGTCTATATTACTAACCTTTTTTATAATTACTATTATAATAAATACTATTTAAGTAATAGATATTTACTATAATATAAGCCTTACCTTAATTTATAAGATTATTTAAAAAGCTATTAATAATTACTATAATAAGTAAAAACTTAGCTTACTTAAAGATAAGGCTAGAGATCTTTAATTTAATTTAAAATAGGATTTTAATAACTACTTTATATTACCTTTTTATAATAAGTAAGATAATTATAGCTTAATTAAATTAATTACCTTTAATTATAAGTTTTTAATACTTCATAGTCTAAGGCTTAGTAAAGGAAATTATATTTAAAAGTATATATTAGGTTAAATATAGGAGGTAAAGAAATAACTTAAATGCCTAAAAAGCCTAGAAAATAGGCTTATAAAAAGGCTAGTCTTTAAGACTAATAGCTTCTTTATTAAGGTATTTAAGTTAAAGCTTTATTATATAGCTTGGCGTAATAGCCTAAAGAGGTAGGTTATAGAGGTACTTAAGGTCTTTAAGAATAATCTATAAAGTATCCTAGTCTTAGCCTAAGATTAAAAGTATATAACTATTAAGGATAGAGAAGTTATATATAAGGCGTTAAGGGGCTGGGGTAGAAATAAAGGTAGAAGGTTAAAATATATTAAAGGAATATATATTTAGAGTTAAAGTTAAAGTTAAGGTAGCCTTTAGGCTAAGAAATTAAATTAGATTATATAACCTTTATTAAAATCTTATTATACCTATTTCCGTAATATAATATATAATATTATTAATAATATTATTAACTAGGGATAAATTAATATATAAAATATAATAATCTTATTTTTTTTATAATATCTCTTAAAGTTAATAAAGTAATAGCTTTTATAACTATTAAAAATAAAAATATAAAAAAATATTAACTAATTAATTAAATATACTTTAATTAAAATATTTTAATTATTTAAGGCCTAGCTTATTATCTATCTATTTATTTTTACTTATTATAATAACTTAATTACCTAAGAGGTTATATTTTTAATATTAATTTATAAGGTAATATTAATTTATATAAATAATAAATAGTATAATTAATTAACCTTTTATATTAATTACCTTGATTATAATAATCTATTTTTAATCTTTAAGTTATATTAATTTAGGTCTTTTTTACCTTTTTAAATTAATAATAGCTATTCTACCTATTATAATACCTATTATAAAGCCAGTCTTATTAAAGTTTTAAATATTATTTAATTTAATATTATACTTTATAATTATATTTTATATAAACCTAAACTAATTATAAATAATAATTAGATCTTTATATTTAGCTTTTTAATAATTATATTTTTAAAATAAAGATATCTTTAACTTTAATTATTACTTAATAAAGTTATAAGCCTAATAATTATTAATAGGTAATATATTATAATTAATAAATAAAGAATTAACTATTTTATTTATAAAATATAATTATAAAGGAAATCTTTATAAATCTAAGTTAATAATAAATTAAATTATTATTTATTTCTTTAAATTAAATAATTTTTATAACTTTAAGATAAAATTACTTTATAATTAAATACTATTTTAATAATAATATAACCTATACTTAAAGATCTTATATATTATTATAGTATATTAAATACTTAGTTTAAGGTTATTTTAAAAAACTTAAAAAGTAAGAAAGGTTTTAACTTTATTTAAAGGCTATAATATATTAGGTAGTTAAGAACTAATTAATTAGATAAAAAATAAGATATAGGAGTAAAGAATATAATACGTACTTATCTACGACGCATACTTATCAATTACGTTACAGCTTAATAGCTTATACAAGAGTTCGATGTACTTATTCTCTGGATAGTCTTGCTCCAGCTATATTCGGAGTTACCGGTTTTAAAGTACAGATATTCACTGTCTGGTAGAGTAACACTGGCCATCAAGTGTATAATGCCAGTCTTTCGGCCCCCTATAGCCCTTCCTGTTTAAATAAAGTCATTTAAGTTATTTATTACTCTCTGCTGTTAGCTTTAGATTGGCCCTAAAATAATTTCCTTTGGTTGATCTTATATAAGAGAAAACTCCCGAGTATTATGCCCACGAGGGCTTTTAGTGTCTTTTTAACTACTATATAGCTTTTAGGTCATATATCATATAGTAGTATATCCTCAAGAGCTAGTCGTAACAGCACATAGCCATTATCATGAATATATAACTTTATATGTTAAGTAATTCATCGTTCAGTATTATATACCATCTTGGGCCAACTTTTACACTCTTTAACAACAAGTCCAGCAATTACTTGTTATCAAGTGAGAATAACTCATGACTTTACTGTCTCTTTAGGGCCATATTGGGGAATGGAAGCATGGAACTATATCGTGTTGAAACAGCCACGTACTTGTAGGAAATAGTTTAAACATTTCAGAATAACTCAAAGGTATTAATTGCGTAATGAACAATCTCACTCGAAATTTCACAGCTATATACCCGGTCTTGGGCATAGGTAAGGCCTCATGTAACATCATATCTAGACTTCTGATCTATCCCCTCTTAACTATAATACTTCTACGTTATCTTTTTATTCGTCCGTTACCTGTCGACGTTCCTATCCAAAGTCACTTTATATCGCAATGCACTGAACTCCTCGATCCGTCTGTTGCGACCCAGTGGGACTTACAAGACCGCGACTCTCTGCTTTGGCACGGGGTAAGGAGTTCAAACGGTTGTTTGATCACCCCTTAGACTGTACTCTTGAGGTCCGATGTATGAACTACCATAGCATGAGATAATAACAATATACTTGCATAATATTATTTGGCACTCATCTGACACTTCTGAATTAGATTACCACAACACAATCTAACACAGGTAAGTTCTCATGATCTCGGTCAAGCCCCAAATCATGTTGTTTTCGTGCCTGGTCCTCAATCTAGGGATTGTAGTTGTATTCATATCAGAATAACAACTCACGTCGAACGCACTACTTGTTATTGATTCACACAAGATCAATTGCTCCTTGAGCAATGTTTCTCAAAGCATACAACAAACATTTGCTTCTGTTGCTGGGCTCCGTACTAAATGAATTATCAACAGAGTGCAGCCTGGCCTACCCTAGATCTTTTTGCTCAACCCAGATGTTTTCCCTCGAGCCATGATAATGTACGATCCTACTAGAACTTCAGTTATGTGGTCATATATGCTGAAGCAACTTTCAAATAAGGAAATATCAGAGTTATAGTCAATCTGTTCATCCTCCGCACGATACGATGTGTTAAAGAAATTTACTTAAAAATATTGTCCATACCAGTGACGAAATATTGGTGGAACTCAATCTGCCTTTGCGGAGAATCCGCTCCAAATAATGGAAAACTGGTTATCATCGCCTATAACATCAACAAAGCCACAGACAATATATCGCCAACGACAACCGGTAGAGGCTACCTCGCGTATAAACCAATCGAAGGACAAAGTATCATAACACACACATCTAGTCTACGTTTAGTACATCCAGCACAAGAGAGTACCTAGGCAACGACAACATGAAGCACCTCATCGTTGTAGGTGCTTGCTACTTGGACACGATACTCAAGAACGTCACCCTCGTCTACACACTCATGACATGGACATCTACTGACCTACCTCTAGTGTCCCATTCCTCCCATCCGAGGACTCCAAACTACGTGCCACCAGCCTCAATATCCGACGTGGGGGTAACTGCCCCAACTCACTGCAAGTCTTGGAACAGCTGGTTGGCGATCGTGATGCCCTCCAACTGCATCTAGTATCACCGCTGCCTGACGCCTCCTCATCCGCAACGCGGCGTGTTGTCTCTTCGTTCGGTTCGCAGTCCAAGATCGACTTCAGCCGTTGCTTATATCGAGAGGGGCGTACGGAGGCGGCAAGCAGTTACATCCTCCGCAGCCAGGAGACAGGCAGCCGTACCGTCATAAATTACAACGACTTGCCCGAGATGACCGAAGACGAGTTCGGCAACATTGCGCGAAGCTTCGAAGCAGGCGAGGAAACATGGTGGCATTTCGAGGTAGGATTCATCAGTGACAAGCTCCTACCCGTTGACTCTAGACTGAGTGTGAATGGATGCAACAGGGCCGAATCCCGGATACCGTACGGAGCTGCATCCGCCTTTTGCGTAACGTCCTACCGAATGCCAATATCAGTGTTGAGATTGAGAAGCCTGGCAGGGAAGGTCTTCCGCAGCTGGCATCAGAGGTGGACGCTGTCTTCTATTCGCGAAGTTGGGCTGAGGTGAGATTGCGCCCATAGGTGTTGGGCTGCTGTGATTGAGAGGACCTGACATGGTACAGAGCCGAGGCCACAAAACTCCTGAAGATTGCCTGAAAGGCGAAGAACATCGAATGGCGTACGCACCACGGGAAGATCTTGTGCTCGTGCTTGAACTGGGACTTGTTGGCTGACGAGATGCTGCATAGGTCACTGGCACTGTGTACGTGGGGTGCAGAGGGAGCAGCTGGACTGTCTCGGTCGTCAGGCGAGACTGTTCACTGTCGCTGGCCTGCCCAAGCCCTAGCCCAGGATGTATACGGAGGAGACATTTCCGTCATCGAGTATGTTCCACCCAACGCACAACTCATACGCACAACTCATACCATCAATCGCGTACCCGTAGAACTGCAGAAACTGACCGCTGTCCGAGATATAGTGCCGTGGGAGCAGGGGACACATTCATAGCCGGAATGCTGTACGGGCTGATCTGTCACCCCGGTGACTGGAGCACGAGGAGGAAGCTGGGTTTCGCCGTCCAGCTGGCCACACTCAAAGTACAGAGGGAGGGGTTCGACGGGCTCGGGGCAGACATGCTGGAGACTGCGGACTGGAGGCGATTGAATGCCTGATTACGGGTAGTCCTGAGCCTGAGATTGGAGATGGGAACGGGAATGTCTGGCCTGCCCTAGCTTCGATGACAATATGATGCTCCTGCTTGACGACGATCCAGGCAAAACTCGACACTTCACAGGCAGAGGCCAAACTCCTGGTGCAAGGGTATCATGTCGGAAGATCAAGGGAAACCCAAGACGCTAAACCAGCAAAGGGCAAAGTTGAGAGACAGCAAATGAGGAGAAAAAAAAGAACTCAGCAAATCCAAGTCCCAAGTCCACTCACTACTGATGGCTTAAAGCGGCTGATAATGTCCTCAGTTTGATCGTGAGAGATTAAGTGGGAAGTGTGACTAGGAGGGTCAATCGATGGTTGACTCGACAGGAGAGGAGAGAAAGGGAGGGAAGAAAGGCGGTGAAAATAGGGAATAGAAGCGTTCAGGTTGCATGCTCCCAGGACCACAAGTCTCAACTTATCGCGCACGGTACGTATCCCTAGCTACTCCGTACATACTTAGACATGAGTTAGTATCCGTAGTCCAATATTATGGAGGCGTGCTGTGACTGTGAATGTGAATGTGCAATCGTCAGATGGGCCTGCCCTGTCTCATCTCCTAGGTATTGATGTGATGCAAGTAGATGCGTAAGTGTCTTTTCTCATGTAGGTATCCGTAGGTACACGGTTGCAAAGAAGGGGACTAGGAGACAAAGACGAAGACGGTGCCTGCAAGTCTACAAGCCTCCAAGACACAGCCTTTAACCACTATACCACGCGGATGCGCCGGGACTATTGCGTGGAGTCGACGATTAGTCTAGAAAGCACGCAGTGCATTTGAGCGAAATCGAATCGTCGTTGTCGATATCTTGAGTTAGCATGGTAGGTATTGTCTCATCCTGTACCAGGCCAGGCCAGACCAGACCAGGGTAGGGCAGTGCAGTGCAGGGCAGTGTGGCCAACCCGTCTGCAACCAATGCCAAGGCATGCTAAAAGGAGCCCGAGGGGGGAAGCGAGCCGCTCGCCAGCGTCGTCATGCGATGCAGAGTTTAGGGACCCAAAAGCCCCGAGATGCAGGCCAAGGCGATGCGATGTGCCGTGGGCGGTAGCTTCAGGCCTCTCTCTTTCTCACTCACTCGGGCAGCTGGTTTGCGTTTGCGTTTGCTTAGCTTCAGCGGTGGCACCAGTGACAGGGACAAGGTGTGAGACGTGTCAGATGAGACGGGACGGGATAGACACGGAGATTCAAGAGAGGCAAGTCAGCGACAAAGCTTGACACATGCGTAGATAGTTTCAGGAGGGTTGGTGCCAAAGCAGTACCCGCCCTCGAGCCTTGACCTACACGCAAGTTGAGGAACAAGAGGGCAGCAAACAAACAATCAGTAGGCAGTGTAACTAACTGTAAGCTTGGACACTGAATTGATAGTAAGACAGAAAGTTTCCGTATCAAAGTGGAAATGACCATCTGAAAAAACATCATCAACAACCACCATATCATATCAACCAACCAGGCTAACCTCGGTGGGATAAACACCAAATCGAAGTCAAGATTGGCTGAGTGACTGTTCAAGGGAAGATGTAGGGTACGATGGTACGTCCAGCCAGCCTAGCGCCCTAGCCTAGCTTAACTGGTATGTGGAGGTTGCTATGACCATGGTTTATGGATGGTCAAGGGGAGAAGATCTAAAGAGACGGGGCAATCCAACGAATCCAAGCCAAGAAAAGACAAAGGCTTCAGATCCATCAATAACTCGGCAAGACAAATTGAGTGCTTGCTTGGTGTATGACGCCGGCCCGCCTTGAGTGTGTCTCAAAAACCAAAACCCCTGCCTGCACACAAAAGCCTCTCCCACAACTAGAGTTGGAGCTAGCGAAGAGGAAAAGTAAAAGGGGTGAAGGCTAACTTCACTTCGCTTCTGAGGGGTGTCTCCTACTCCAGTGGTTACGCGAGTGTCCAATCACAGCCACAAACTGCTGTGTTCAGGCATTATCTCATCAGCACCCCAGGTGTTGATCAAACAATCTCTCGCTTGGTGCAGCCTCGGACGGTCTGAGGTGGTATGGGCTGAACTCTGGCCCGCCCGCTATGGACATCCCCGATCGGTGAACATTTATGGGGCCCTCGGACGGAGGAGCGGGCGGCAACTGGAGGGGCCCCGGCCTTCCGGAGCTCCAAAGCTGTCATAGTTACGCCGCAGGCGTCGACCACGCACACAAGTTTTGGAAGAATGTGAGGGAGAGTAGCGCTGGTTTGGTGACTGACGATCTTGAAAGAGAATGTCTAAAGGTTTCTTATGTTGGGCATATCACTGACCACCAAAGACCAAATTGCGTCTTCAGGTCCAATGAGGAGAATATCGGATATCCAACCGGCGCCCAGTCTGTACCGTAGCCGTAGCGGTTTCGGCAGTAATTATTAGCAGACAATCTAGTAGCGACTTGGCTCTGTATTGGTGGGCGTAGATCCAATAGGTATTTAAATTGGCCAGACGGACACACGTTATATGTCGATGAGGCCTGTTGAGCGCTGGTAAGATGCTGATGAGGATGAACTTCCGAGCACACTGGCACCAATCAGGCCATGTTACTCGCAAAAGCAAGGTGCACAGCAAGTGAGTGATTACCGTCTGTACATACATGCTCGTCAGGGCCAGGCTCGGTTCCTTGGCTGTTCAAGGTTTCGGCGTCAAAGCCGCCCGCCAGATCCAAAGCAGGGTCCGGCCAACCCAAGGTTTATTGCCGTATATCACGGCGTACCGTGAGCCGTATTCCACACTCAACCACCGCGTTGCCCCACATCACTGGTACATGCCGGTAAGCTACTTTGCGGAGGGTGTGGGGGGGGGGGGGGGGGGGGGGGGTTGCTCATGCATGTGTTGCAGTCAAGAGCAGATGAGTAGGTACGGTACGGTACGGTATTGGAAGGGGTTTAAACGCAGCGAGAATCTGTGATCTGGACATTGAGTTTAGACGATGGGATGATTTCAACATTGCGCAAGTCGTTTTGTGCTTCTGCCGCAACATAATCGTCATACACTCAAGTCATGCTGGCGAGTCATGAATGAACATGAGTGTAATCAATGACTGTGCGTATGTGTGTAGGTCGTCATCTCAATGAAGACACTTGCATGATCACAAACCCGTTATGCATGCCGGGGGCTAATGGATGCTCTGTATCTGTATCTGTATCTGTACTGTAATATGGTGCCCAGTCAAGGTTGCCAAACTGGGGTTATCCTCTGAGGCGAATCCTGCTGACTTCCTCTTTACTCCGTACGTACATACATGTGGGTGGTGCAAGTTGAACTGTTGAACCATGGGCGCAAGTGCAGAGAGATGCAACGGCACGTTACAGGTGTCGACACAAAAGTTTACCCGCCCATAGTGCATGTTGACTCGTCAAATGTGTCTGTTTTTTGTCGTCTGGTCACAAACTTGTCCTGTTTAGCTTTAGCAGCGGATAGCAGGTTGGGACTTTGACATGGGTGCCGGTTGCAGAAGTCCATACCCCGGCCCTACCAGACAGGTCGTGCTTTTTCCAGGGGCTGGCCGGCTAGTCTAATCCTTGCTCTCCTGCGGGGAGCCTGGGCCCATGGCAGCGGTTTTCAATGTGGCACCTGCTATACTCTCCTGGCCTAGTGTAAGGGTAACTTATCGAAGTGCAAGGTCCCTAAGTCTGATCATCTCCGAACCATGTCCTCGATAAGAATTGTTGTGGTAAAGGGCCTGTCTTCTAACATGGCGTGGTTGCCGACTCCAGTGACACCGATGACTGGATAAGCATAGTCTTAGCGTATGTACGTATGTTCGCTCGTTCTTTCTTGCGAAGGTCATGGCGTTGCAATAAGTAATTATATCCGAATTCCAGGTCTAATATCCGGTCCACGAGTAAGCATCGCAACTCAACGTGAATACCTACCTAGACCTTCAGACGGGTCAGAAAATAATAGGTAACCCAAGCGCTTTCCAAAGCGGAGGACATAAAAGCTCGATCATATTTAAGTACCGAGCGATGGATGATCTAAGTATTTCAGTATTTTAGTCATCTTCATCAAAATTTCCTATTATTTTCTGACCCACCTGGCCTTGGAAGTTAATCATCGGCAACTAGGCCGTGCCTTTGGCGAATTATTCTTTTTCGCTTCCCTGGCAATGTTCAGATATTGTACTATCCCTTGTTGGGCAGATTTGGACCCTCCAGTCTCACACCCTTGTGTCGTATTTTTCAAGCATCCACGCTTTGTTTTGAGTTGGCGTAGCGTGGGACGGTGAGAGCATGTACTCCGCAGAGCGCGTGGGTATATTGGGGCCACATGCCACTTTGAAGAAACGAAGCGAAACGAAGCGGCGTGATGATGCTCAGATGGGTGTACAAAAGCAGACATTGTCCTCATCACATAATAGCCTGTGACTGCATGGACAGTCTAATAAACCAATCTGCATTTCACTCAAGCTTCTGAGCCCCCAAAGATCGAAAAGACCTGGCTTGAGTAGGTACCAAGTTCGTGTGGATACTGTTAGCAGTCTCTTGGGACAAATAACCATTCCCCGAATACGTATGATGTATCAAGAATCGACTGTTTCTGCGTGAAGCAGATAAACCAGTCAATCTGCGTGTCTGACATCGAGTTGATTGCCGATCGCAAGGGAAGTTAGCGTCTGAGGCAGGCTATCGAGCTAGCCCCTCGGTTACGAAGGGGTGCCCATCGCTGTAAAAAGGCGAGAGCTGGGTGAAAGAGGGGTGTTCATAACAAGGCATATGCGTGGGAACGCAAAACAAAGAAAACCGAACTTCAGCCTCTCTGGTGGACTAGGCGCAGGATCTTGAATTGAGGCCGAACAAGGGATAACACTTTGGT